GAGCGCAAAGATGAGGGCTACATCGCTTGCTTTGGAGCTACTTGCACTGGCACAGCAGTCGCTCTGGTGAGTTCTCCTTGCCTATTCTGTGTAGCATATTGCTGTCGAGCACAGTTCGCTGACGTGCGTGGATGCAATTGTCGATTGCTCTCCTTTATTGCCGCAACCGATACGGATGCTTCATCCAGCGTCACACCATCGCGACCACCCCTGTCGATCGCGCGCAAGCTGCCCAACTCGTCACTTCGCATTTGTCCATGTACTTGTGCGATAGCACTTGAGAATACGCGTTGTACATCATCAGGAGACTGCCATTCTCGCTTCAAAATCGGAAGCTTCATTCCACATTGTGGAACCTGCACTTTGCGCTTGCTTAAGCACCCGGCCGTTCGGCAGCCTAAGACATCGTTCGGAAACGCGAGCGCGCGACGCCCGCTCGAAGATTCTTGACCCTAAGCGCGATCTTTCGTCTCATCAGAGTGAGGCTCACTCGTCTTGAGGCCGTGCGGTCCGCTAGAGCAAATGACATTGGCACCGAAGCAGGTACAGTGATGCTGACCCAAGAGAGCAGCGATGCGAGCGTTAACGAAGGGTACGCGTATACAAAAAGTTTAGCGAAAGAGAATGCAAGGTGACTGGAGTGATGCGGCAGGCGAAGAAAGCGAATCAAGTGACGAAGGGTGACCAGATATGAAAGATTCGCTGATGGTGCATTGCGAGTGATGCAGAGAGGGGAGAAGAGTCGGACCTTTCCGAGAGGATGTGCGAACAATCCTGGAAAGCTTCCGTCTAGGGCTCAAAGAAGCAAGGAGAAAGGCAAAAGCTTGAAGGCGAAAGTTGCGAGTGGATAACGAGGCCCGTATGCAGATCGAAGCATAGCAGTGACTAGAGATGGTGCAATGTGAGTGGGTTGCAGAACCTGGGCTGCACCAGCCCGCTGTTGATGTGTGCGATCAGGCCTAATACTTGCTCGGATGGCATGTCGAAGGGCCTCGACAGGGAGCGATTGCGGCCTTGAGTAGGTGTCGTGGTTCCACTTCTCTCGAGCATGTTAATGCTGGTCCGAAGATCCCTGATGCATTTGAACCAGGGGTGCCGCACAGATGCGAGCTCGAGAGCTGCGGCTGCACAGAGCCAGCATGGTGTAGTTGGCTTCGCACTTGACGTAGCTGGCCCTCGAAGGCTAAGTGGGCGTAATGCCGGCGACGATATAAGCGCTGCGGAACGTATCGGGGAGGTACAAGTTCGCACCCAAACCTCCGCCGAGGTAGAGCCGCACCACACAAGGTCGGAATTGTCGATCACTGAGCCGTATTCGAACAGTGCCTTCCAGAAAGATGGTCCCCGAGGCAGGTTCGATTAACTTGGATGGGAAAGCAGAGAGTAGAGCTTCTTTAGAAGGAGCGGGCAAGAGTGGAATCTGCACAGGCTCGATCAGACTTCTAGAGAGGTTCTGCAGAATACCGACATCATCTGAGTGCACAAGGTCGAGCAAGCTGATCTGCTGAAAGTCGACGTAGCTCTTGTGTATACCCAACAGCGCAAGCGCTTCATCTGATGCGCGAGCGGCGCGTAGCTCGGTTGAGCAGATCAAGATTGCTGAACCTTCATTTTCGCCGGCATGGGTTGCTGTTCGCGATCGTGGCTGGGAGGGCGGAGAGCGAGACGTCGCAATGCCGGTGCTGCTGTCGTAGCTGGTCTGCCAGGGCTCACCTCCAGGTCCGGTGCCGAATGCTGACGACGACGAGGGCTCAGCGGCGCGAGTGGGAAAAGGCCCACGTTTGGTGGGCAAAGTGCCGGGCGGCTCTTGTGTTGCTGAGGGTAAGGGAGGATAGAGCGGAGCGCCTGGCAACTTGGCAGCGGCAGCAGCGACCTCCCGATCTCTAAGACGGGGACGGCCCCTCTGCTTGTGCTGAAGGGGCGGGGGAGGGGCATGCGGCTCGTGTCAGAGAAAGTCGGCGATGCCAAACATGAAGCAACACGTGGCAAATCTCTTTGTTCTGGACAAGCACAATTGGAGCATTCACGATTCGGTCTCCGAGTGTAGGGGCAGCATTGCCTGCAGACGAGCCAAGCACATCGGGTCCCTGCCTGTGCTCTGATAGCTGCCGGCGATGGACGCACTACTCTCTGAGCAAATTCCATAAGCGGTGGATGGCGTGCATGTTCGATCATGGAAGCTTGCAAAAGGCCCTTCCGAGGGCAATGCGCATGCAGCTCCGTCGTAGACTTGCATATGGGCCTCATTCGTGTGCTGGTCTGCCCACAGTCGGATTCAATCACCCGCAATGGAGCAAGTCACGATTGCTCATCACAAATCATTGTCAGCTCACCTGCACATCGATACACGTCTCCGTTTTGCCCAGATTTTTGCATCGCTGGCAAGGTCGTTGCGCTGCGAGAAGTAGAGCCCGCACAGGACCGTTCAGAAGCGTAGAGGCGGAGGAAGCATGGTGATGAGTGACGGATGGATGGATGGATGGATGGATGGATGGATGAGGGGGCGAGTGGATGCATGTCAGCGCTCCAATTCGCAAGGGTCAGCATCCTCATGGCTTGCGCGCCGGGAAACGGGGCGGCAGCTTGATAGCATAGAGAGAGACAACAAGACTCCTTCAATTGGACAGGAATGGAGACCTGCGCTCGTGTGCGACGACACTGTGACTGCGTACATGGTGACATGAGCGTGCACGCGTCTCGCACCCTGGACTGGTGACTGGAGGTGTGCATATGAAACACAGCCATCTACGCGAAATGGGCTGAGACTGACGCGCTCGTCGTTGAGCAAGCGCGTACGTGCAGCGGCAGCCCATCCACCCGCTCCCCGCTATCTGGAGGTCGCCTCTCCACAGCGTGCACACGCTTTTCTCGACGCTTCCATCACCATCCCAGGCAAGTCGATACCAGACGGAGTCACAAGCATCCGTGTGAGGACGACGCGCTGTGGTGTGATGAGTTCAAGAAGACCCAAGACTTGCCAGTCTCAGCTCCTGGTCGCTGAAACAGGAAGCGCAGACTTGCTGCTTCGCACACGAAACGTGTCGACACCAAGGAACGGCAGAGTCTGCTGTTCCCTTCGTATGCTGACCACGCTTAGAAGACACGATGTACTCTGACCAGAGTTGCCCCACCACCTCTCGAGACAATGGAGGACTCACCATCACAGGCCAAATGCGCGCGCCTACAATTCATACAAGCGCTCGCGACATTCGCCTTGGCAACTCTGCGCGGAGGAGGCTGGACCTCGGTGGAAGATCCAGCATTGGCCAAGCTACTCGACGAGCTTGCATCGTGACTGCGCGGACCCAAAGGTCTCCCGTACCGCGGCATTCCGTGCCATTCTGCCTCGGTCCCAGCTCTTCGGCGTTGATCGTCGTCGTAGGTGTGGTGAAGCGGCTCAGAAGGTCTGGCGTTTGGGGTCCCGTGGTGCACCTGCGTGCTGGCGCGAGGACGATGTGACTGTGCGGGCACATTTCGCTCCAGTGTACCATCCCTCGGCAATGCTGATGGCGGCAGCGAGTACATGCGCGCCGCACTCGGACCTGCATCCGAAGTCGAACTCAACGTAGGCGAGGAGTCGTAAGAATGGGATCCAGCTCCCACTCCATGCTGTCCAAGTCGAGGGTTTGAGATGGGATCTCGCTCCCCTTGCCCGATGCGAGGTAGAGACAAACCTGGAAGGCTTGGAAGTTGACGCTGCTCTGGTCTATTGTCGCCCAACGGAGGCAACGGGGGCGGTCGCGGCAGCTTTCCAATCTCTGAAGCTGGTGCAAGGTAGCTATGCCGGGAATGGGCAAGCCCAACATGACTTCTTCCTGTTTCGCCCCAAGGCAGGTACGGAAAGCCCACTACCCCACTGTGCCGTTCGAAGCCAACCTCCCGCGTATTCGATTGGGCAACCAAGCTTGGCGCCCGAGGCGCTCGTTCGAGATCAGAATGACCTGATCGCGAAAGCGCCTCGGGGCTCCGTTGTGACTTCGATCCGTGACTGGGATGCTCTTCAGGACCCATTGTCCACAAGGATTTGTCCTCCACGACAGTACAAAGTTTCTCTAGAAGGACGTCGAGAGACGATTTCAGTGCCTTACGTTGGTTGCTGCGACGAGAGATGGAGAATAGTGGCGCTAACGGCGACAAACCATCTGCACTTGGTAAGGCAGGCCTAGCCAATCTTCAAGGACTAGAGAGCGCCGGCGCCAAATTTCAGATCAAAAGGATAGCTGTGTGGGCGGTGCAAGGAGAGCAGCGCGAAGAGGCCCTTCTCTGTAGGAGGAAGTGTCGAAGAAGAGGCCTTGCAAGCAAGGGGACGATGGCTCAGCGTATCACTGTAGGCTGTCGGTCCAGTGGAAGGGGTCGGGCGTGGTGAGTATAGAGCACTCCAAGCCCCGCTCCTTTCACCATGAACAGAGCTCGAGAGACGTCAGCGCAGAGGTGAGAGGTGGTCGCCACGCCTTCCACAATCAACTCACATTCGCCGCATTCGATCAACGTCGAAGGGTACAGAGCAGGTGCCCATCGCGGTCAACGGCCCGAGCGAGCTGTGACGTGGACGCTCAGGACCGGCGCGATGAAGGGAGATAGGAAAAAATGTCGCAGGACAACTTAGGAACAAAACGCCGAGCCGAATCCTCCGTTCAAACTGAAACGTCGACCGGATCCTGCAAAAGTAGGCGCAAGAGAGTCAAAGTCCCCGCTCGCGCATGACGGTAAGGAGGTTGTGGCAAGCGCTGGCCTTTGGCCGTCCACAGTACCATGACTCTTTATTAGCTGCTGTGTTCAGCAACCACACATGCGAACCCCCGGGAAGCGGTGGCAAATGTCCGAGCTTCAAGCGGCACAGCCGACTCCAACCATCGCTTGATGAAGAACTCGGCTATGGTCACACACCTTGCACCCTGAGGTTCCATGCGGCAAGTTGGCAGTGGTTCACATTCAGATTGAACGACGGATTCTGAAATTGAAGTCCAGAAGAGTGCAGAAGAGTCAAGCTAAGCGAGGTCTTTACAGCTTGATGAAACCGATCGCATGCCCCAATATCCGAGGCGCGGCTCCAGATGCAATCAAGATTTGACTAGCTCCGCGCATTTCATTTTTATTTCACGTAGCCGCGCTGCGCTCCCTCGCTTAGATTTTGCCGCGTCAGGCGCCTGCATCCGCAGGACAGCAGGGACGACACATAACCACCGAGCCAGAGTTAGCACCATCGGGGACTCTGCGCATCAGAGCACTTTCAATGAGGGGCTGTGATAGCCTTTCGAGGCTGTCACGCTGTGCTGCTGCGAGGCATTCAAGACGTGCAGAATGGGTCGTCCAGCAGGTGGTGTGATGAAGGGCCCGAGCGTCTTATCTCCTACCTCTCAGTCAGGCCCTACAGTTGCCTGGCCATTTGTGGGCTCCACGATTCGCTCGCGAGCGGCGCGATCGAAGTTTCAGGGTGGCTAGCTCTCATACGGTCCGACCATCTTTGCATGTATGCACACAATGCTCGCTTAGCTGCCTTCGAGAAGCAGGCTCGGAGAATGAATGGCATTCGGCACCTCGAGCAGCCCGTCTTTGAGCCCAACTGGGGGAAGACATCAGCCAAAACCCAGCAGAGGAGCGCCACGGCGCGGCTCCATGGGCCCTACCGAACGCTCGTATTTCGCTGATTCGTCATCGTCCCCTCTGACGACATACAACCTACAGCGGGGGCGTGCAACTCGCTCTTTTTTGCCGCATTGGAGTATCCTCAAAGACTCGTCGACTGCTTCCAGCACATGCCTCGCATCGAACACGACACGAGCCTCATATCAAGGGGGCATTTGAGCATCGCAAGCAGTCAAAATCGCAATCAAACTCACAATTCATCGGCGCCGGACTTTCGGCGGGAGCGAGGGGCTTCACACCGTGCGCGCCAAGAAAGCGCAAACATGCCGATGATCGTGCACAGCTGCTGGAAGCCACGATTTTTGCTTTCCTGCGGGACCATTCTAGAACCAGTTGAGAAGCTGCACGGAGACACCGAGCTTCTGGCAGCAGTTGTAGATCAGCGTGGCCATGCTCCGTCACGCGGCCGAGCAGACTGTTTGAGCTTTGCTTTGTTCCTCCTTCTCGTGCTCGGCAACTCGGCGCTACGTCTGATCGCGTCGGCGATCACACCGAGCTAGCGCGAGAGGTTCTCTCATGCTACACACATGCTATGAAAGACCGTTGAAAGACAACACGACGGCGCGAGCTGAGAAACCGGGCGAGAAACTGGACAGCGATCATCAATCGCAGTCTGCTTTTGGCGTACATTTGGTGTGGTGTCGGGTCAGCAGCGGCCATCGTGGCTGTTTTGCGAGTGGGCGGCAAGTGGCCCCGCCAAGCCCAGCAGGCACTTTCTTCGATGCTCCGAAGCTTAATTACTATTCAAGCTTGTGTATTCTTGATTTGATGCATGCAAATCCTCTTCGCAGGAAATCTCGCAGCGTGGGCGAGGTGACCCGTGCATCGGATCAGAAACAAATGCAGGTCCTTCGGACATTCGGCGCATTCCCCTCCCGCTCGCGTATAAGCCACTGCAGCGCTTGCAGTATATAGGAGTCGCGCCGCCGCCTGTTCCTCAAGTCGCGAGTAGCTGCTGATCCGTTTGCGGCTCCACTTTTCCCAAAGCGATCTCGCGTCGAGGGGGTGTTGAAACAATCATACCGTACTCCGTTCCTGAGTCTCGCCACAGCCGGGATTCGGCGTATATAACAAAAACAACCTCCGCTGTCGCGGCGAAAATTTCCATGGACACCACGGACATTGACATTTTAGGCATCAATGGGCCGAGGGCACGATGAGAGCGCCACGAGCTACTTTTGGGGCACAATCAGGTTTCGCGAATAGATCCCTTGCATCGCTTCTGCAATGAAGGTATCATGCTTCAGATGTAATGATAACGTGCTAAGTCACGAACCAATGGCTTCCACTCGAAGTCAGCTGCACTGGTATCGTTTTGCACTTCACCTAAAATGAGCCGGCCAGAGGTAAGCTAGCCGTCGCAAGTGTGAGACTCTACACGTCCATCGGTCATGGCGTGTGCAGTGAAGCCTTCAAGCTGACATCATTTTGACTTGCTGCACTCATACTCGAGGTTATCAAATGCCGCGCTTGTCTGTATGCTGGAGTGTCACGTCCGATGGCCGTCCTCCGTCGGTTCAGGAGATTTCTAAGCTGAGACGCAGACGTCCGAGCTCTTGCATTGCGGAATGTTTCCCGCGGCTCAAGCTAATCAAGACACGTGCGCACGCGGTTTACAAAATGCGATGTGTCTAGTGTTCCCCCAAGCAACATACTGATGCGGGTCATCTAAAGCCCTCCGGCACTTTTCTTCCGCTTTTTGGAGACTTTCACTGATGGTGTAGATGGCTCCGTCGATATTGATGACCCGTTGACATCGAGTGTTGCTTGCGAGCGGAACGAAGCTGACTCAGCCTTCGAAGCGTGCTTGACTGCCTTTGTGGCCAATTTTCCACTCAAAGCTGCTTCTCGGCCGGCGGCCAGTTCAGCGAGGTCGCTTTCGCCCCGCGTAGACTGGGTCGCGTGGCCATTCGACTTGTGCTCCGTCTCAAAGGCGGGTGAAGAATCTGTCGTCGCCGAAACGTGTTCCCTGAAGAGTTGAACAAGCTCGTCAATGTCCTGCTGAGTGGGCTCTTGCCTCATTCTGGACCCATCTGCGGCAGGCGCTTCCTCTACCTCGGTCTTTGCAGCCGTAGACCCGTGTTGCTCTCTTTCGACCGCTCCAACCTTGCCGCTCGCAACCTCATGCGCCGGTATCAGCGCAGAGGTAAAAGGTTCGAGTATGGAGCTCAACGGCGGGAGAAGGTGAGCCGGCGCGTCAAAGAGAGCAAACACGTCTTTGCTTGCGGAGAGGGCCGAAGGAGGAGCGTCGATCGAGTGGAGCTGCGAGACGCTCGACCCAAAGAGATCATCGAAGAGCGTCCGACGTGCGACAGAGATGCTGTGCAGCGGCCGGGTCGTTTGTTCAGAGTTCTGTGTCGTAAGTGCCGTGCCCCCAACTGCGACGACCTGCAGATCAGATGTGATGGCGTAGAAGACCGGCCCGAACTTGTCCTGCCGAGCATCGGTATCTGCGCCAGATGGCGTGTGGTGAGACCAAACCGGTGCCAGCGTGCGAATGCCAAAAGGTAATTCAAAGGCCGATAGGGCACGAGAAGACGTGGGTTCGAAGGTCTGCACGACAGAGATATGCCTTTGTTGTGCTTGTGAGTGCATGTTGAGTATGATCGCAAAGGCTTGACCACTCTGGACAGGTGCAAAAAGCTGGTCGATGCGATGCGCAACGCTCAGCTGCCAAGCTGTCCGACCTGTGATGAGATCCCAGACCATGATGGATCGACGGCTAGTTGCGACCAAGAACCTATCACCCAGCCCGGCGAAGAGGGTGTCGCTTGCTGGCTGCGCATCCTCACAAGGAAGAGCGGTCTGCAGGATATTCGTTTGCACATCCCACACCGTCACGAATGCTCCTTGAGCTGCAGCCAATAACGATCCGTCATTTGTCCATGCGACATTGTGGGCGACGCAGCCCCGATACCCAAAGACGGAACGGGCAGACCATGAGGTGTATGCGGCACCCCCCTTTGCTTTTCGAGCGGTCGGCCGCCAAGTCTTCATCTGGCCATCTTTTGCCGCGGTACAAAGAATCGGTTCCGGCTTCGTACCTTTTGCACGACGAGGCGAGGCTGGCGAGAAGCTGAGGGCAGTAAGACCGGCGGCGTGAGGGTCTGCTATGCGCGTATTCAAATCATATCGGCCTGTCGGATGATCCCACTTCCAGACCTTCAAACATCGTTCCGTCTCTAACTCGTCAACGAGACGCGCTTCGTAAGTCGCCATCCAGTCCGCCGGCGTGCGATCGCTGTGTGCGCCGTGCGAGAAAGCCACCTTGAGCACTCTGGTAGGTTCCAGAGGCGCGTCGTCAGGCCTCGATACCCTGTTGGATGGGGTGATCTCAATTTCTGCTAGATGTCGGTCGTTAATTGGGTCATAAAATTGGAGACTTGAGGGATGACCTGCAGGCATAATCAGCGTCCCTGTACCTGGCTGCGTTGCCAGCGGCACAGGGAGGGTGATCAATTGGGTAGGTTGAAGGAGCTTCCGTGACGCGTCTGAATGGCGAGGCTCGCTGTACATGAGTAAATGGTCTCTCTGGAGTTTATGCGCAGGATGGACTCACCAACCTTGACCCTTGTAAAGGTCCTCTGAGGCTTGAGATTTACAGAGCTGACAAACGTCATGCTTCCATCCGCTAGTCTTACTGCATACTCTAGACCCCTGCCCTCCAGACCACCCGCCAGTGCCACAGAAGCGATGGGCGCTCCAATTCGGGGCACGAACTCCTTCTGACCTGTAGCCAATTGCCATAGGACAAGCACCGCCTCTTCGCCGCCCGACACAAGCTGAGCGCCATTAGGGGTGAATGCAAGCCCTGCAACTGCATGAGAGTGCCAATGCAGAAGAGTATTGGGAGCTTTTCGTTCTCCAAATGCAGCCCCTTTCAGCTCCCCGGGCGGCAAATTCAGCATGTGCCAGATACGTATCCGTCCCCGCTGATCGCCCGTCGCGAATGTTCCGTTTGTTGGGTGAAACGCAAGACACGTCAAGCTCTCGTCGGTGATGAATTTGGTAAAGCCGTCCTGCAAGGCAGCGAATTTGGCGATAGAAATCTTGCAATTGCCAATCAAGACCAAGTACCTGCCGTCGGGAGAAATGGAGATTCCAGCAGCATCTCGGCTTTTACCTAGACGATGAACATTACTCGGCTTGGATGCACCTGGATGCGATGTGGCGGTCGCACTGTTGAGCAGCAGAGAGGTAGTGATGGAGTTGAAAGGGCCTAGAGGAGGAGATATTAAGGAACGGTTGGCGACCTTGCATCGGGCTCGCAGAATATGCCGAGGACTTACCCTTGCTCAAGAAAGCATCTTCGGCCTTCTCCTGCGCATTTCCCTCCCCTCGGGGCTTCCTCAAAATGACGAATGCGTGCTCCGGATGGTGCCGACTGAGGGCCAGATGTGTGATTGGAAATTTGAGGTCGATGGATCTCAAGAGCGTGGCGTCAAGATAGTCCCAGACCTTCAAAGTACCATCCATAGATGCGCTGACGAGCTGCAGAGGATTTGTAGGGTGCAAAGCTATCGCTGTGATACGAGCCGTGTGCATCAAGTCGGCTCTTCGCCGTGGCTGCGAGCTTCCAGTTCCAGAGGTCTGTACCGAGAGTGTTGAGACTACCTCGCCTGTCAAGCGCGCAAAAATGCGGACAGAGTTGCCCGTAGCCACGAAGTAGTAGCTGAAGTGAAGCAAATTAAATTCAGAGATCTGATCAGGCGCATGTATGAGAGAGTCCACTCACTCGTTGTCCCTAGTGAAGACGGCGGGGTGGCTCGACACTTGGCTCTCCGCAAGCGCCGTCCATGGCAACGCCCCCAGTCCCTCTACGGTGCGCCCTCTGCCCGCAGATTTACGCTTGGTGGGATCTTCGAGTGCGCCATCAAGGTTCTTCGAGCCCGCACTCGCTCGCTGATTCGACCTCTCATTTCTTGTTTGCTCCGTGGACGCCGACGCCGACGCCGACGCTACTGCCTCGTTGGCTGCTGAGGCAGGCGCAGGGGCACTCTTATCTGGTTCTTCTTGCTTCGAGAAGCTGACATTGGCATGCTTGCGTTGTCGAGACGTTTTCGAATTGACCTTGGAGCCTTCAGCATGAGGTGCAGAAAGGGCGGGCATACTGGGTGTACCAGAAGGATCTTCGGAAGCTCGAGAGAATGTAGGCTCGTGGCCAAGCCAGTCACTTCCAGCGGTCGTCTTGAGAGGACCGCTTGCCAAGTGCTACTGCTGATCGAGCAAAGGAGCTGAGCGGGCAGCTGTCAATAGTGAAGTGAATGCGAAATGTAGGTTTTGGTGGGATGATGCGAGAGCAATTTGCCATTAACCTCGAGCAAAAATCAAAAGTGCTGCACGGCACCTCCGCATTTCAACCGCACTTTTGAGTGGGACGCGTAGAATGCCAGGCAGAAATTTTGATCCATCAGCTGCTGCATGCCCGCCAAAAATCGAGGCAGTGCAAGAGTGTGCCACGTGGGCTCGAATCGCGGCCTACAGGTACATGGCTCCACGCTTCCACAATCACAAACTTTGAATATGCCCGAATAGACTCAGACATCCATACTTTTGCGAGTCGGGTTGCCTCATTACTTTGAAGGTAACGGTGTCTACGGCAAGCATGAGGGTCATCGGAAAGTTGACGTGCAGGAGGTCACGACGTCGACGGATCAGGAATGCTGGCGCGAGGACGGGCAGATTGCGGTACGGGTGACGAGACCTAAGGTGTACTCGGTCTTGAGCGGCTCAATTATCATGGCAGTGATGCCAGCCAACCTTTTTCAGAATAGCGCGAGGTTTGCTGGACCAGACAAGCCAGCCGAGTCCGAGCAGGATAGCAAAGACAAAGACGAGTAGAGTCGTCGATGTCTTTGCGGCTCTCAGCCCATTCTGATGGCCCTCCTCCTCAAAGCGAGGCTTTCCGGGGTATTCCTCCGTTTCGCCAGATTGCAGGACGCTCAACGGGTCCATAGTTTGATGAAACCCCATCAGTGAATGTTTCTCGTTGAGTGCGTCTTTAGGGGAGACGCGTGGCTCAATGGCATGACTGGTACCAATAGCTGAGCCAGTGCTTCGCAGCGCTTGCAGCTCAACCAAGCGCAGCTCGAACTTGCCAGATTGTTTCTGAGCATCGTGACCTCTTCGAAAGTCAGCTCAAGCTCAAAGCGCCTTTGCATCCTGATTCCTCGCACTGCACTCACACCGAAATTGCTTCTCGCCATAATGCTGAAGCCCTTGATCTTAGCTGGGTCAAGTTTCTCTGCGTCCTTTGCAGGCCTACCACGATACGTGGCGGCAAAATCTTGCCATTGTGCCTCCACATACGCTGGTATTCCAGCCTTGCTGCGGCAGGAGGAGCTATCATTGAAGCCCTGCGCCTTGCTAGCGTCGAAGTCCCACTCGTAAACGATGGCAGACTCGTTTCGGCCATCCGGACGCTTCACCGGATCAGCGGTGCGCAGATTGAGGACGTAGCTGTGCACAGGTGCTTCGCCACCTCCAGGCTCCGAGGCCGGCTGACTTGCAGCCGAGTCGTGTGGATGACGAATGACGAGTCGGAGACCCGAGAAGTGATGCGCGTCGAGCTTCTGCGGCAGAGGTCGAGTAAAAGATTGGGAAGCAAAGCCCGCTCCTCCAAGCTTCGTCGTGTCTGCACCGACAAGGCATGAATCAAAGTGAGCACGATGTACACACACACCGAACGGCCCTCGAAACCAAGCTTACCCAAGAATCCTGAGAAGATGGCCTCGCCAAGGTCAGAAGCAGATGCACCTGCGTCCCTGTGGGGCCAAGCCTCCTTGATGTGCTCTCCTACCACTTCGAGATCGCTGTTGCTAATGCCGCCCCTGATGGAGTCATTTACGGGGGTGAAATCTTTGGAACGCCAAGCATGCTCATCGTCCTTAGCACGGGGGAAAGGGCGGAGCAGTGAGAGCGCAGTCTCAGCACTTTCTGGCTGTGTTCTCTCAATCATTGGCGTCATTTTGAGCTTGATGTCCGACTTCTACAGCGCTGTTGGGACGAGTGCAGTATCTCCACAAAATGCTGTTTGGAAGAGCAAGGAGAAGCCGTCCTACGCTGTTCGTGGTCACAGAAATGGGAAAGGAGAAAGCACGAATGTGACTGCTTGCTTGCATGCATGCAGGCAGATTGCGATTGGGCCGCACGCGTGAGAAAGACACGACATGTGTAGTGGTGAGTCGTGACTCGTGAGTCAGGGTGCGACATAAGCATCATCAGCCTCCATATATGATGCATCGCGGCGCAGCGTCATGGCGAGATCAGCATCAGCGCGGGCGACGTGGAAGCTGAGCTGAATCTCACATGCAAGATTCGTTAAAATCACAATCACGTGCATGGCTATAAGCCAAAAGGCACAGTCACGAGTCAAGAGTCGTGAGTAACAAGAACCTCTCGAACTTTTGGTGGTGCAACATAGAGCAGTCTGTAATCGTGCATGTGAATCAAATGTACAATTTCGAAGATACTCGTGACTCACCACTCTCACTCGAGACTGTTGTCAACTAGCATTCAAGATTCTCATCCAAACATAATCAAGATGAGATAGCGTCAAATCGTGATGACAGTGCTGGTAGATCATTCTCATCCAAGTTCCTGTTACCACCGCACGCAAGCACGCCAGATGCACAAGAAGTGACTCGAGTTATCAGCTGTGAGAGGCAAGACCACGCACGCATTTACCTCTCTGGCAACTCGCGCCTCATAGACAGCCGGTAACATTCACCATGGCGCCTCCTCTGATATGCTCCGACCTTGCCTTGACCGAGGCTGAGCCACGCAGCAGGGTGCGATTGGTGATGAATGTTCGAGAATCGCGTGTCCAGTCTTCAGGTCGAACTTCAATTTGGAATGAGGTGCCTCTTGAGCGGAGTGCATCTTTATGAGCGTGGCAGAACACCGTTTGTGGACGCAGTTTGTGTTTCTTTTCGCGCTTCCAGTCGCGCATCACTGCTTCATTGAGCCAAATGTTGCAGCGTGTCAACGTGATTCGCATTACAGCTGCGGCTTGAGATGAGGTGCTTGACGCCACCTGAAGCGAGGGGGCAAGATTGTTGCAGAGCGAAAAGGTAATGGCCGGAGCGTAGTGTACAGTGTCTCGCCGGTTTGCACAGAGGCGCATGAAATGTCAGGGAGAGGGAGGGTTATCTCGTGAGGGGCGACAATGCAGCGGTAGCATCTGGGACAGGGCCTAGCCTGAAGAATGATGGGGAGAACGCTGATCCACCTTACTCCTCTGCTTTTCTATCCCTCCAGCTTTCAAAGCCTTCTCAGAATGCGCTGTGAAAGCCTGGTCAGCTAACGCCTGAGCTTCTCTAGTCTCCTCGTCTTCTTCGTCTGTTCGTGTAGATTCCGAGCTATCTACCGACTCGGCGCTAGAGTCCGCTAGAGTAGCGTTCTGCTGCTGTTGATCAGTCAGCTCATCCCTGGAAGGAGCTTCCGTCTCAGCTCCAAAGCCGAACAAGCGACTGGCTACTTTGCCCGCATTTGTCCTGCCTAAACCTTTTTGGAAAGCGACGATGCTGCCTTGTTCCTCGTCTTGAGCCTGTCCCGCTTCGCGAGTGTCAGTGCCCTCATCTTCACCTCCACCTTCGCCTTCCAAACCAAGTACCTCTTTCCGCCGGTCTTGCTGCATGCCCCGAAGAGAGCTGCTTCCCAGGAAAGCGCCGGTGGACAATCGCCTTGCTCGAGGTGTCTGCGCACCTTCACCAAGATCTTCGTCTGCCTGGTGGAAAGTGGACGGTTGACCACCGTCCACGTGATCAGTCTGGTGATGATGGGTCTGCTCATCGGGCGTTGGGGATGCGCTACGTCGAGGTGTCGCGTCGCCCTTGCTTGGCGCTTGCAATGTCTGGTCGGCTGCTGTTGAGCTTTTGGAGCTTTCGGCAGCAGTAGCGGCAGCAGTAGCAGCAGCAGTAGCAGCAGGAGGCGCACCATTGCCTCTGACCTTTCTCCAAGCTTTCAGAGCTCCCTTTCTCAATTCCTCGCCGATATCCACCACATCATCAGGCTTAGCGCCTCCATTGTACCAAGCTTGTCTCGCATTGTTGCCATTGCCTGCGGGACCACCAGGAGCGTGCAGCTGAGCACTCTGCCAATCCGCAGCGTTTGATCTGGCCGATCCTTGCGACGAGAGTAGATGAGAACGAGCAGCAACTCCGATTGTTATGGAGTTGGCTCGTTTGAGGCGACCTGAAGAGGGTAGAGGTGCGAATCGGATGGCGCAGGAATGATTGCTTGACCCGCTCGAAGCGTTCGTACTTGTGCTCGCTACGCTGCCACGTCGCAACGCCTCGTGGGTCGTCGTGGCTGCAGTGCTCGCAGATACCCATGATCGCGCGCCGTCGCTCGTCTCCGAAGCGCTGGAACGATGAGCAGACGCTGGCGAAGCAGGCTCAGCGACATCGTCCGAAACCTGCTCCGAGTCGTCGTGCGCGACCCAGTTGGAAAAGTCGCTGCTGCTGGTCAGTGGAGGAGGTCGATCGCTCGAGCTGGAGAGTGGAGCATCTTCACTCGCATCCTGCTTTCTCGGGACGTGCCAGCCACCTGGGGGGATGTCAAGTCTGGTGGGAGGGAGCACACCATCACCTGCGCTAGCCTCTTCCCCTCTCGGATCGTACGGCAGCACTTCTGCGCCAACATGCCTGGACCCATCCGATCCCAGGGGAATCGTCCTCTCGAAGCTCTTACCCAATGGCAAGCCCGTCTTTTTGGCTTGTTTCCCAGCCTGAGGCGGAGGTTGGAAGGCGGTTTTGAATGCGCTGGCTATCGCTGCCCCGGTGCCCGAGTTGCTAGAAAGGGCTCCTCTGGTCAGTGCTGGCTTCTCGTGAGCATTGGTCAGGATACCTCCAGCATTCGGTGAGCTGGGTTGGCCATTGACGCTGAGCTTGCTCGAGCTGCTTTGAGCGTCGACTCCTTTGCTGCTGGTGCTGCTACTGTCACCGCTACTGCCGCGGATCTCATTGCTCCCGCTCTTGCTGCTAAGCTGACTTGAGGCTGTGGAACTGGCCTTGCGAGCTGGAGGCACGGGCGGTTGTGGGCTGCTTGACAGCCTTGAAGGCGCAATGGCTGTTGCAGCAACCATATCGCGGCGTATGCCAGTAGATGGGATTAGATCGGCTGTCTGAGATGTGCCTGCCAAGTGGCGCTTGCGAGAGGAGATCGTGGAGAGCAGGCAGGTGACCCGTGCAGCTTGGAGCAGATCGACGAAGACTTCAATTCGACCGTAGCATCAAAGTATTTTGCGAGGTCGGCGACGCATGTGGACCGATGTGGACGACAGCTCATGCCTCATGTACTGCTATGAGAGGAGGGTGATGATGACGATGATGGGACTTGCGGGCTCAAGGCGCCGCAAGGATGCGGGGTATAGGCAAGGCCCGCTATGCGATAGCTTCAGCCCGGTTGGGCACGTCCACTCACGCCTCTCGGTACCTATACCAGCTGCATGCGCATGCGTGCGTCAATCGCCCATGCGCGGTCAGGGCCGTCGCGAAAACGCTCTGACCGATGCGAGCATGACACGACTCTTTGCGGCGCAAGACCGGAATCAACATCCTCGCTGATGATGCTGCTGCTGAAGCTGCTTCTGCAGGATGGACAGTCACGAGTGGAGGCGCGTCGGGTGTGCTGCTCAACTCCACATCATCACGAATGCAGCGCCCACGCCTCGAACGGCTGTGATTGAAGCGTGCCGAGACAGATCACAGACAGAAGAGAGCATGCACGGCAGCGATTTACGCTCGGCAGGATCTTGCATGCCGCTGCCGTCCGGGCAGATCACGTGAAGTGTGTCGATCCATCCTCCACTCATCATGAGTCCATGAGTGGACTCGCTTGTAGACGGTGCCGAGATGATGGTTTCTTGGCTGTTAAGCACCCCTTGGTCAAAGTGACGAATGCTGGGGGCCAGTTCGGGATCGAGATCATACAGCTGGTTGCTGAGTGTGACGCTCGTGATAATCCAAGATTGCATCTCCTTTTTACGGAGCAGGCTCACGTCGATCGTGCGCGTGGTGGCTGTGCGGCTAGCAATCGTGATCGAATGAGGGGCTCGCGCATAGATGCGTACCGAATCATCCATGGGGCGCGCTCATCGCGCGTGACTGCCGCATCGGAGCACGCGACCTCCTCTTCAACGCTGGGCTAGACTCATGCACACCCCCACCCACGCGCTCACAGATCGCCTGCAGCAGCGCCAAGTCCAAACTGTCCGCCAAGCAGGCAGCCGGGGCCTTATCGCGCGATCCATACGAGCTGCTGACCGTCAGCGGTCCGGTACGATGGGCTCAAAAACGGCAAGCAGCAAGCAGCAGCATGCAAGCAATATGCCTGCGCTGCTCTGTACGGTACATATATGGAGTAGGCAGAGGCGGGGCGGCGGTCGGGCGGACGCGTGCATGCATGCATGCATGCACGCATGCATATGCAGTCATCGCTCATGGGCCACCGTCTGCGGGTGCGGGTGCGCGCGCGTGACTGCGCGGCTTGTCTCGAAATGGCTTGGTGATCTGAAACACCGGCGGGCGCGGCCGCGTAAGCGCTCGCCCCGGCCGTATAAGCTGCTGCTGCGTGCCCATTGCAGCACAGCACGCGAGATTAGGCCTGCGAGGTACGACCTGGAGGTGCGAGAGTCGAGTGAGTCACATCATCTACACGGTCTTGCGATACGCAATCAGTTGTTCTCCTCATCGCCACCACATCTCGACATACTCGACTACATACACAACTTATCTTTGAGCGCTCAACAACAACTCGGCCGCTCTCTCTCCAGCCCACACACACCACCATCTCTACGTTGCTATCTGCGCATAGCCAACTCTTGATATCTCCACCTATCAGCCTCGCATCACTCTTACAACACACTTCTCAAAGTGAGCATCCGCGCCAACGTCCCAATCATCTTCCTCGCTTCCTCAAATCGGCTGCTCACCACCCTTCCCGCCACTTCCTCACAGATGCAAATCTTCGTTAAGACGCTCACCGGCAAGACCATCACTCTCGAGGTGGAGAGCTCGGATACCATTGACAATGGTGAGTGGCGATGCCTTTGCGGCGTGACGTATGCGCATGCAACGAGCTCGACGAGCTCATTAGAAAACATCTGTCTTCCGCAGTCAAAGCCAAGATCCAAGACAAAGAGGGCATTCCTCCCGACCAACAGCGTCTGATCTTTGCCGGAAAGCAGCTCGAGGATGGCAGAACTTTGTCCGACTACAACATCCAGAAAGAAAGCACCTTGCATCTCGTCCTTCGTCTTCGCGGAGGTATGCAAATCTTTGTGAAGACCTTGACTGGCAAGACCATCACGCTGGAGGTCGAGAGCTCGGACACTATCGACAATGTCAAGGCCAAGATCCAGGACAAGGAGGGTATTCCTCCCGATCAACAAAGATTGATCTTTGCGGGCAAGCAGCTGGAGGATGGAAGGACCCTGTCGGACTACAACATTCAGAAGGAATCCACTCTCCACCTCGTGTTGCGTTTGCGTGGCGGTGGCAAGCAAAGATGCAAAGCGGGTGCAGGCACCGAGGGACAGTGCAAAGACGCTGCCATGCGTCTGGCTGGAACTTGCCCACATTGCACCCTTGCGTTCTGTGGCAAGCACAGATTACCAGAGACGCACGCTTGCTCCGAGCAAGAAAGTGTGAGGAGCAAAGCCTTTGATCTCAACAAGGCGAAGCTGGAAGCGGAACGAACTCAGACGAATAGGGGTCTTGCTCACTGAGCCTCCGCTCGATGGATTCTCTCGGCATGTCATACTTCTGCACATGACTCTCTTCGCTATCTGTCTTCCCTCTCAAGCCCCTGAATCCATTCGCCCTCATGTCTCTCACGTCACGTTCCACGCCACTTTCCAACTTCGAGCGCTGAAAGCTCCCGCCTAGATTCCTCCTTACCCTTTTCGTGTTGCCCTGATCGTGTCTCAACATAACTCCATATCCCCATCAGCACTAAGCAAATCAATGTATTAAGTCCTTCTCTCGGCGGTTCGGTGTGAAAAGTGCGTTGATGGAGGGCATTGAAAAGAAGGCCGGCCATGTTGATATTGGGACGTGCGCTAAGCCAAGCTTACTCGTGACTGACGGCGCTTTGTGGACGAGCAAGCTTCCAGCGCGACTCGAGACTTGTGGCCAAGCTCGTCTGTCGTGCGATGCGGTCAGCACGATTAGTATGCCGCCATTCAGCTTCTTGCAACTCACAGAGCGAGGTGTCTACGTCCCAGTGTGGGACCTGATCAAGAATGCGAGATATGGCGAAAGAGCTCTGCACAATCTGCCATCATCCCAAATGCATGTCACTCGATGAGCACGCATGTATTTCTCGGACGCGCAAACGCCATACACACTCGTGCTTGGGTTTCTTTTGCACTTCGTCTTGACTCTTTGATGTTGATGAAGAGCCTCTCGAACGCGTTCTTGCAAGATATCGCTGGTTGGGTCACATATGTGCGGCGGCCATCAGATTTGGAGGCCTTCTATATCGTTCTTTGTGTATTTGAAGCCGGGGATTATCGCTCACTCCACCTCGAAGTAATCTTCGTCCGAAACCTGAGCCTTCTGGCGTTTGGAGGGAATTTGCTGATCATCCCAGGCTTTCAGGCCATTTTCCTGCAGCAACAGCTCTGCTGCACTGCATTTGTTTGCTTGACCGCTGTGGTCGCTCGTGTCACTCTCCGAAGAGCTGTCGTCCTGGCACGGCTCAAACGAGGGATCATCGTCCTCATCACTCAAATCGCGCGCCTTTCGCTTCCTTGCCGCGTCTCCGTACTCGCTCCATCGGACTTCGTCTCTGGGCCGCACGACTTTCCCCTGAATGAGGCGCGAGGCACGATTCTTCTCCTCCACGCGTCCTTCAGCATCGGAGTGATGACCAGAATCCGTCCAGAGTTCTTGAAGCTCAGCGATGACCTCCTGTCGCTCGTGATCAGAACTCGAAAGCGCATCTTGTAGGCAAGTCAAATAGGTCTGCACCTTGCAATGGCCCTTTTGGAAGACTCGCGCTGCGATGGTCACGAAGAGGCCTTGCGGCTCCGCCCCCAAAGCTTGGATCTCGGGCGAGAGGCGGGCAAGCCGGACCAGCGCGCTCCGACGAGCATGCTCCGTCGACATCAAAGCTTGCATGTGATGTAGCCATATTTTCAGGGTGTCAATGCGACCAATGCATTGAGCGCTCGTGAGACTGAACGGCTGCGACAAGGAGCGGGCAGAGAAGTGGAGATGAGCGGCCAGAAACGCGGACACCCTCATTTGAACAACGTCCTCAATTTATGACCACGCCAACTCACCTCATTGTTGAACATGCCCCATACCATTTTGGCGCTGTCGAGAGACTGATGATCAAGACCCTTTCTCCCTCCAGGTCCCGTGGAAGCCTCGCCCGCTGATTCGGACGCCAACAACGCCGCGAGCTCCTTCCTGGCATCGCTGTGGAAATAACTCGTCAGCTGGTGGCGTGACTGAAAAAAACCAGAGCAACCTGCTTCACGCACTGTTGTTCGGTCAAGGACGCACACGCTTCGATAGAAGCTCTGAGCGCGACGGTCGCAAATTCCAATTTATCGTGCCTGACACCTTCAGCATATTCTTGCACCGCTACTATTTCACCATTTCCCTTTACAACCAGCGAGTTGACAGCACCTTGCGAGTTAACGCTAAGCTCGACAGACGTGACCGCATTCGAGCTTGACAATGAAGGAAGGATTTGAGAGGCAATCGAGGACATGCCCGAATTTGATGTTCACTCACCGTGAATCATACTTGAGAGTCGTCGACTCCGAGTGAGCGTCCCTATTGCCTCCATTGCCCGAGTCAAATTCAGCACCTTGAATGATGCTGTCGAAGAAATCATCCGGAAGTCCCAATCCCGAGTGCAGTGCTATCTTTAGATGTTCTAGAGTCGGAGGCACGCCCTTGCGATACAATAGGGCGACAGAACTCGTGTAGCCACACGCGAGAGTGTGCTTCAACACGACATCCGCTAAATGTGAACAATCGCTGATCTATGAGTTACGATCGGAAGATGAGGCTACGGCGAACACCCAAAGACGTGGACCCTGGACTTACCGCAAATGCTTTTGGCAGGAACGAGACCTATCACGACAGTTCCAGGGGCGATAGAGAATTCTGAGTATTCGTTATAGTCTCCTGGAGCTCCTGAAGGCCCAACCACGGCGGTATCCTTGAGAGAAAGCCCTGTGGAAGTCACCATGTTAGCCGACGAATTTTGAAGGTTGGTGCTACGCTTGTTCCGACCCTGGAAAGGCGACCCAATCTCGACTGGCAGGGCTCTTGCGCTTTGTGCGCGGACGCATCCAAAATTGGGTGACAGCTCGCAGTCCATGTCAACAACTTGTACATTGCTGTCAGGGCGCTGAGCTAGGATACTGTCTGTCCCTCTAAGAAAGAACAGATGGCCATCGCTTGAGTCCGAATCAACCTCGTCGGAGTCGTCTTCGTCCGACGATTCGTCCTCACTAGAGTCTTCCTCAGAGTGTCCTTCTGAATCTTCTTGGTGAGCGTTTGTGGCGTCTTCTGATGCTTCTGAGTCTACAGGCAAGCCTGTCTGTGCGTGCGTTGAGCAAAGGTAATTGCGCTGGTGCCATAGACCGCATGAGCAGAGGTGGTACTCATTCCCTTTAGATGAGATTGGCAGCACTGCTTGAGTGTTTGCCCCAGCATCACGAGCGAGTGGCATGGGAGAACGACGTGATCCAGCGCTTTGCCCCCTTGAATTTTCTTGGTCTTGACTCTTGGACACAGAATGTAAGGAATTGTGCTGCTCAGCTGCAAAGCATGCGCTACGTTTCATCGATGATCGTAAAGGGAGCGTGAGATGTGGCTCGTCGAAATCCCTTTCTGAAAAACTAAATTTTGGGGATGGTTTATACGCAAGGGCACTGCGCGGTGACATCGAGGAGCAGCTGGCGTGGAGATGTCCTGTCCATGTCCCTCGCTCGATAGTCCAGCGCTGGTGTCCCAAGTCAGCGATTGAGAAGTCTATAAGTTCGGCATAGGACCATTTAAGTTCGTCAAAACCGGTTTCGCCTGATGATCCCTCACTGTAACATTGAGCCGCCTTATCTAGCACTTTAAAAGCTTCCGCTCGCCATGGCGCCGAATTGCAATCGCCACAAAGACTCCTACGTCAGGGGCAGTGAAGGCGCAAGTCAATCTTGCTAATGCGCTCTCTCGTAGCCGCTCTATGTGCTCACTCCAGAAGATTGCCCTGCAAGCAACGTCTCGTAATCAGTACACGCACACTGCGGGCCTCACCCTGCGACTCACCTGGTAGTCCTCTCGTAGCAGGTGTGGTATCACCGATACCAACAGCTGGCGGCCAGCCTCCTCCCCAAGCTCCTCGAAGGCGTACTCTACTGGGAGCGCAGACAGCTGCAGAGCTCCAAAAAGAATCGCTTTAAGGCTATCGAGAGTGACTGACGAGCAGAGACCCAGCCTAGTCATCAAGACCGTGGAGGCAAAGCACAAGCAAGACGCACAGACACACCTTTGCGAGAGCATAAACGACCTTTGATCCACTTTACAGGGTGGGAATCCTGCTGTGCCTCCCAGAATGTGGCGACGATAATCTGATGGGTTGCATCGATACCAGAAAAGTCTTGCTCCAGCTGTTTGAACAAAATGCCCACTGTCATGTCTGAAGGACATGCTTTGAATTGCTCCACTAGCTCCTGGACGACCTCGCTCAGGCTGAAGTAAAGTACGCCTTTTGCATCGAGATTGATGAGAGTAAAGTAGGCCTCCCACGCATCCTTGCCGATGTAAGCTTGCAGTTTAGGTAGGGCCCCTCGTGGCTTATGCTCGTACGGTTGCAGAAGTGAGAGTCTCAATCTGCAGAGCCACGATGCCGCGCAGGCTCGCGTGATCGTGAGGATTTTCAGCTGCTGAAGCTCCTGAAAGCTGGTGAACTTGTTAGCTTTCCCTACCTCGAAGGGTGAGGTAGTGGCACGTACCATCAATTTGGCAGCCTTGCTGGGTACGCGATGGAAAGGTCGCTCCCCTAGCATCACCAGTAGGCAGATCCAATTACTGAGGCGGGGAAGACTCTGGACAACCGCAGACGTCTGAGCGTCGAATTGACATTCAAACTTGTCTCTACCTCTGGCCCAAACTCACTTCGGGACTGAACCCGTGCAATCGAGCTGCATGTATCAGCTCCTGATCACCCAACATGAGAATCGAGCCCAGCCAACCGCCCTCGCGTGGCTTCATGGGCCAGTAGGGCAAGACGTTGTTCAACTGATCAGAAATACGCTTGCTTGCTGTGTTCAAGCTCAGCGGCGTAAACTGTTGGATATTTGGCATGGGAATATATTGGAGGACAGTCGATGAGTCCATTCGGTGTTCGAGCGGGAAAGAAGCAGAAAGTCTCAGCGGTGCAGCTCGGTAGCATGCTAAAATACTGCTCTCCCTTCCCAGAACGCACATTAAATCTCTGATATGCATCTAAGAGATGCGACTTGTGAGAGGTGCGGCTGGCAGGCTCGCACAAGTAGACTGATCGGGCCCAAGGAGTCAATGTCGGTGTCAGTCAATGCTTTAGCAAGCCAAACAGACTTCCTGCTTACGCTGAAGGACCTCCTGGTCCCGTGGATGTAGCGTCATGTGAGATGCATACAATTTGACGCCTTCTGAAAGAAGCGCCAGGACGGTTGCTGTGGGCACCGATTGGCCCCACCTGAGTGGAGAGTCCACGTAAGCATGTAACGACTCATCTATGGGAGCCGAGCTTCGTGCTACGACTTCTTGGACCAGAGCGCGCGACAGTACAGCTCCTCGATCCAGCAACTTCCTTATGAGCCAGGGGTCGAGCAACCTTGGTCTCTTGATGGCTTCGAAAAACACGTCGCGCACGTCGTAGTGAGCCAACAGCCATTCCGCGCGAGAATCTTCTAGTCTGCCCATCTCGTTGAAGCGTCTGCTGACCATCACTATCCTGCTCGGATCATCTATCAGAGTCCAGATCTGGCAAAGAAAGGGGCAAGGCGGTCAATCCATAAATGACTCGATGAGCGCTGAGCGTCGCGCTCGACCCCACCTGCAGCAAGATATCGTGAGGCAGGCCATCCAGGCTAGATTGAACTTTGAAGTGCCTGATGGCGGCCGCAGGGTGAGATCCAACTGCTGACTGTGAGCCGGCAAAGAGGTGAGAGAAGGTCCTGAGGGTGTCTGCCTCTATCGGCGTCGGCCCAACAGGACCCGACGTGGCCGCGGTCTCGGTCATGTCGAAGCCTTCGATCTCCTTTTGCTTTATAGGTGCATCTCTCGCTGCATCAGAAGTGTAGCGGTCTGAATTTAGCCGATGACACCTCTTGAGTACGTGTGCGAGCTTGATGGAATGACTTGTGATTTGGTCGGCGATGCATCGGAAATCAGAGCGAGCACCTCGAGCCCTTACTTAGACTTTGCCACTCCTTCGCTAGCGCCACTGATCGCGTTCTTTGAACTCCAGATCTTGTGCATTCACTCGGCCGTATGAAGAGCTTGCCTTTTAGAAGACGGTGTGATCATCTCTATATACGACAAGGTCTGAAACAAAGTATCGAGACTGGTGACTCTTGATGAGGTTGTGAAGCCTAGCTTCAGCCCCCACACCCGAACGCTTTACGCGCCGAGCAATCAGCAGTGGACCACGCGCCAATGTGCATCTTGAATCACTATGTTGATGGGCGCACGGCCGGACTGGTGGTCAAGTCACGTGAGCAGTGAACACCGTTCGGTGTTGGTACGTCGAGCGAGTCGTCATGAAATCTTGATGAGGACTGACCAAAATCATCAGACGATGATGTGGGCAGTCACATGTCGCAGATGTTCTACAAAGTCGATGGTATATCATTGACAAGGTGCATCTGGAGTGTGAGTATTCGAATGCATAAGAGGCGATCCCGAAATCGTGAATCAGCTTTCAGATCATTCAGTCACGAATATGGCTGAGTTGAGGTATTTCTTGGACAAGACAACGGAGGCGGAGTGCCGCCAACAGCCCCTTTCAAAAGCGCTCGTCGGCCAACAGGAAGAGGCTTGACCTCTTTACTAAAGCATGTATGCGCATTTATATGATGCAGCAAGGTCTAGTAGGAACAACGAAGCGCGCGTGCACTTCGTCATCAGCTGTCCCACACTCCACACCTAGCCCAAGCCTGCATGCCCCCGTTGACGCTATCCAAGAAGATTTCCCTCCTCACCGCAAGTTTTCCCCACACGGACTGATTGCGCTGCAGAATCTTTATCCTCAGCTTCTCCGGCTCCTGGACATTGTGTCGGGGATCGAGAAAGGAGGGATTTGTGACGTCGTCAGAGCGCTCGCAAATAGGGTCTGGTATTGATGACCGACCTGAGCCGGAGCTTGAGACTGCTGTAGAGCTGAAAGGGAACGGGCGAGACGATTGAGACGGTTCGAAAGATCGCAGCAATTGGTACATTGCCGATCGATGTATCTCGCAACAAGTCGGAGCGCTCCAGGCGCCGTTCGCGAAATGTGATGTTCCTTTCCTCTCGCTGCCATTTTCTCTCATGTGTGCCCCTGCGCTAGCCGCTTGTGACACTTCGTGTCCGGCTAAGACTGCACGACACAGTTCCGACTCGAGCGCTTCCTTGGAGACACTCTCTTGATGATTGCCTGTGAACTCTTCTTGCAGCGCTTGCCGCAGGGTGGGACAGGAGAGCAAATACCGGATACCTCTAGACAAGTTCAATGAGCACTCCTTGCCTTGTCTCTCTGGTTTCCTGCAGCTGCCTTGGCCTCTTGAGCCTGAATCGGCTTGATCGTGAGACGAGGCAAAGGTCGAAGATGTCAGTGCCTCCCGCCGTGCAAAGGGGGGCAAGGCGAGAATGAGACTCGCGTGGGGACCAGAGATCCGAATCCTTTGCAGAGGCGACTTTTCAAGTGTCGAGATCAGAGTCAGTACGCGCGGGACATAGGTAGTCACAGGTACGAATCTTTGCGGGGACGAGAGCAATGGCAGTCGGTCAGTCTACTGCTCGCCGCGAGGATCATCAACGATGATGAAGTGCATGATACGATTCCGAGATGAAGGCAAGCCAGACTCACATGTCTATCTCTCTGCACCGCCTCAGGAGCCTCAACCTTGGCCAGAGCCTATCCTCGATCAAAGCGCTGCCAACGCAAATACTGACGTAAAGCGGCGAACAGCCAAAGAGCTTTCTATTGTCTTCCGAAGTGGCTCCTCCACCGACATCTGCTTCGTTGTCTCTTCGTGCGCCTTTTCGCCTGCCCGGCTGTGGATCACCGGGGTCGTTCGACGTGGTGTTGCTGGTGGTCGCGGGCGGGCGTAATGGCAAGATGGAAGTTTCTGCAGTCTCTAGCGGCTCGTTAGGGAGATGAGCACGATGTCGATGGGCAGCCAAAGGGTCGGAAGAGAGTTCGGACGATAACCAACGAGGAGGGACAGCCTTTGCTCTTTCTCGAGCAGCTGACGCCTCCGCTCTAGCTTTCGCCTTTTGCACTTCATCGAGCTCTCCTTCTCTGTTCAGTATGCCTTCCTTTGGGCGTTGGATATCACTTTGCCCACCATCGCTGCTTTTGTCTTCATTTTCAGAGCCATTTTCCGGTGTAGGTGACTCGGACGAGGAGCTCTCTTCGGAGGTGAAGTCGATGCCTTCGCCCCAGGCCCACCCTGGCTGCATGCGTGGGATAGCGCTTCTCCTCCCATTGGGGAGCCTAGGCCTCTTTCTAGGCACCTGAGAGGCATCACGAAGTACTGTCCTTGATTCAGCGTGCCATAGAGAGACTGCAAGAATCGGGTACAGTTAGCCTACCCGGCAAGTAAGGGCGTGTATGCAAACGATGCGACGACTCACGACGAGTGACTGTCTGACCGCAATAATGCAGCAGGCGGAGCAGCTCCGTCTCCCAGCCTGTCGATGCGTGGGTCAAGCGGGATACCTGACGAAAAGGAAACATGGGATGTGCGTGCCAAGCTCAGCAAAGAGCTCGAGCGGTCACGCTGGGCTTTCCTTGCGCCGTGATCCCAGCCGGTGCTTTGGTGGCATCAACGCCGCAGCCCCACCGCGTTGGCCGCTGGAGGCTCATCCATTCTTTGGCAAGCAATCACAACTTTGGAGGGGTCGCAGTTTGTGTGCACTGCCCTCGCCGACTTAAATCGCCACTCACATCGTCCAGTCCTGAGAAGAGAGCTCTGGAGATGCCCGCGCAAACGAAGGGCGGTTTGCCTTCGTTCAGCTTCCTGAACCAGGTTCTAAAATCCCTTACGTGCCTGTGCAGCAGGAGGACTTCGTATCTAACCTTGAGAGCTTGGAAGTGTAGCAGCTTGCAAGTGCAAGACAGAGCCTGCAATGTTCGAATGGTGGTGGGATCGCGGGAATGAGCTGCATTGGTGTAGTAAGAGAGGACTTGCAGTAGGAGTTCGGGGGGAAGACGGGGCAGCTGGCGGAGGTGTGAGTCTGGCAGGTCGGGATATGATGAGGATGGAGGCGATACCGATATACGGGCGCCTGGATGATGGAGATTTTGGGCACCGTTTGTCAAGCTTGTAATGGTAGCAGCGCTTCTATCAGAGATGGTGGATGGTTGCAGAGGCAACGGTTTTCTATCGGGCATGATTCAGCCTCGAGAAAGCAGACCTGGGCAGAAGTGTCACTCAGACTGCGGTGCTTCTGACCGCGCCAGCGTGTGAATGTTCCTGCGACTGATCGTCAGCCAGATCCAGGGCGTGCGTCCTTGTCGGTGTCCAAAGAAGCCTCGTCGAGAGAGGATCAAGTGTTGTAGGCTAAGTTGTCGTACACTCAGACTCACGCGACTGTAGCTGATCAAAGCTTCGCGTGCACCAATTAAGAACATCGCACACACCACGCAACAGCGGCTGCTGAGACTGCATGTGGAGGCGCATGGAAAACGTGCATTCACGATTCACTTAACGCGTGCGGACCAGCATGCAATCCCGCGCAGCTGCAGGAGCTACAGGGCGTGGATGGTGGAGCAAAGGAAAGCGGTTCCATCCAACCGCTGACTCCTCCCTGACAAAGGACTCTTCGTCGTCGTCGTTTTCTGCATGTTGCCTCGCGCTTCGTAGCTGCCGCTGCTCACAGCAATCGAGACAATCGAGAGTCGCCCAGCTTCATCCTGCAACTGAGCTCGCTGAGCTGCTGTACAAATGCTGCAGCTCCGTGACTAAAGTGCGTCGTCTGCCTCTCCTCTCATGACACGACCCAAGCCGAGATTTCATTTCGTTCTACTTTGGCGCCTCCACTGATCCAGCTGCTACCATTACAAGATACCATCTGACTCACACACAGACTCTGCAAAGATTGGAATCTCAGGCGCTGTATGGCTCATACTCTCCTCCGATGCTCACTGGCGAGGCACCCGTCTGCTTCAGCCTGGCTCTCAACATGCCTTCCTCCAGGGTTCACCTTGCGTGATCGCCTACGTCGCCGGCTTTCCTGTTTCGCTCATCTCTCGACCCTTCAATCGCCTGGGCGCATGCTCAAAGCTATGCCGTCATCCAACTCCAGCCAGCAATTGCGTCTTGGAGGATTCTCTCCTGCTTTCAAGCCCAGCGGCAGGCACAGACCCGGTCTAGTGCCCGTCGCTTCTCACTCTTCCCAATCACAATCCATCTATGAATCTCAAAGCCAGGCTTTTGGAGGTCCAGTGGGGTCTCAGTACCGAGCTTATACCCAGTCTCAAGCCGAAGCGCAGTCACTCGAAGAGTCAGAAGAACGAGGAGAAGGATCTCAACCTAAGCGCAAGTCTCGAGCTACCCCTCGGCCCAAAGAGAACAGACCTTTGTCTGCTCTGGCCAGAGGAGCAGGAGGCAAGGGCATAGAGGACTTGATAGCCTCGCCCAGAGGCTCTCCCTCGAAGCGTATCCTCGGTCCCAGTTTAAGAATCATGATTCTGGAAGACAAGCTCTCGTCTGAGGAGGTAGAAGAGCTGCAAAACCTTGTCCGCGCTTTGGGCGCCGGAGTGGCGAGGGCAGACCTGGCTAATTTGGTCCTCAGTGAGGTCAAAGCTCCAGCTAGAGTGAAGAGGGCTATTGGTGCAGACTTGCAAGAGCGCGAAGTCCCGGTGGTGCATAAAGATTGGCTTCTTGCTTGCAAAGTGCAGAGGATACAGCTGCCCTTTGATGACTTTAGGGTTTGGCCAAAGAAAGCGACATCGCGCTCTGTCTCTCCAGCCAATGCTGCAAATGCAGATACCTTGGAAAGCAAGCCAGCGAGGAAGAGGAGGAAGACGGCTGATCCTGAGCCAGATCTGCCAGGCGCCACTGCGACGAGCGAAACGCAAGAATCTAGGACTGAGTCTGAGTCTGATTCGGTCGACAAGGCCAGTACTCCGAGGAGAGGTCGAGGCAGGCCCCGCAAGGCAGCCTCGGCCGGCGAGACAAGTGAGACAGCCCCCAACAGCCCGAACGCCGTCTCGCCGCCCGAGAATTCTGACAGAGGCTCTTCTGCTGAGAAAGCTTTGGGGAAGCGCAAGGAGTTGGTGTCAGCAGGTGGCCAAGCCGGCGATGATCAGGCAACCACTGGTCAGGGTGCAGAGTGGGATGAAGCAGTCCCAGAATGGACCAATCACCCTTACGCTTGCTTCCGACCCACACCTCTGAAGTCGGTGCACAATCAGCGACTGGTCGACGAACTGGAAGTAATTCGAACGAGTCGCAATTTGACGTCCACCTCTTCGATCCAAGACCAGCACAACTCCGCAGCTTATGCTCGAGCAATCAGCTCCATCAAAGCGTATCCTCATGATCTGGCACAGAATGTCAGGGCTGCCAAGGACCTCAAGGGCGTTGGGGCGAAGATATACAAATTAGTCCAGCAATTCTACGAGCTGGGCTACATCGCAGAGGCGCAAAGCATCAAAGAAGACAAGAGCTTTGCCATCATGAGGAGCTTCATGGACTTCTATCAAGTGGGACCGACGAGGGCTCGAGCAGCTTACCAAGCAGGCGCGAGGACGCTGGAAGATCTCTGCGCGGGTGGGGGATCTTACACTGAAAAGATCGGAAGGGAAGAGTGTCTAAGGGTACTTCCCGATCTGGTACAGCGCATGAATAGGAGCGAAGTGGAAAAAATCGCAGAGACGATTAGCAAAGAGTTCGAAGAGGTCTTGCCACGCGTTGAATATACAATCGCTGGTAGCTACCGGAGAGGCAAGCCTACCAGCTCGGACGTGGACCTAATCATTACCGACACGTCGGACGATGGGAAGGAGATGTTGAGCAATCCTAACACTCAGCTCTCGATGCTCAATCACGTTCTCGACAATTTGAAGCGCAAGGGTGAGCTGCTTGGACAGAGGGAGAGCACTCAGACTGCCTCCGAGGTGTCACAGGGAGCTGACGACGCTTCCCTTTCCACATCATAAGCATATTTGACTCACATAGTAGGTGCACCTTCACGCGACGTGAAAATGTAAGCGTTGGCTGAAAGCTCGGGTAGCAATGCTAGCTTCTGATCTGACGCTGCGTCTGCTTGGCCCATTCGTACGCATCCAACAGAGGTGACATCAAAGCGCCCAAAATTCAGATCGCCGAAATAGTGGTGCTCCCGACGTCTTCGACCGGCGAACGACCGATTCACCGAAGAGTCGACGTGATGCTAACAAATCCTCAAGTGTACGGAGCGACAATTGTGGGTTGGACGGGAAGCACCATGTTTGAGAGGGACATCCGAAGACAGGCCAAGGATCTAGGTTTCAAATTCCATTCGCATGGCCTGGTGAGGGTGGAGAATGAGAAGGTGGCCCTCAGTACGCCCACAGAGCAGGACGTGTAAGTCGCGCAAACGGAGTACTGGGGTTCGCTCTGGCAGTCACTGCCGCCTTTTGACAGGGTTGTCTAGACTGACACGCTCATCACTTTGACGCTGCGACAGCTTTGATATGCTCAAGCTGCCCTTTATGCCTCCTCACCTGCGGAACTGCGATGCGTAGCTCCGTCACCCACGTCATGGTTGGTCGTGTCAAGGCACCTGGCCCTTTGTAATTGTCACTGTTCCCCCCCTGGCATCCTTGGAACATTGGCGCACTGCTCACGAAGCGGATGGACCCTTGATGCTTCGATCAAGGATGTGGTGTTCTCGCTCATCATCGGTATCGAGTCTGCCCGCTTCGTTCTTTTCTCGATTTGCAGACCCATCGCCTCGAACGATCCACGGATCCTGGCTTCTACAATCGGTTTACTTGTCATTGCAATTTCGCATACAGATCAGATGCTTTCGCACGACTGCGACTGTTGGAGTTTCCCGCTGCCCAGCAACAGCAGCTCGGACTACGGAGCGTATGCGACGCTTGCTTGATGCTTGCAGTAGTCCAGGAACGTCTCGATCCACGCTGCACGAGTCGCCAGGTCGCTGCCTCAGAATCGCATGAACCAGCTGATTTATTTCGGGATGGGGGACTCCTGAGCGCTGGGCCAGTCAGAATCTAGCTTGTTCGAAGCGCATGCTCACATGCTCAGGGTTTGTATAGGGAACCCACGAATGTTTGGGAGCACTGAAGCAGAGGCTGATCCCTGCATGACTCGCAAGCATATGTATTCACGATTGCACGATTCACGACTGTCCTGATGCATGCATGCATGCGTGCATGCTGCAGGCCTGGACTTCAAAGGTTTGCATGAAGCTGCATGCACCATCGCCGTCTGCCCGGGGCCAGCGGCCGCGGGGTGGCTTGACTAGGCCCACAGCGCACGCGGCGCGGCACAGCACGGCACGGCACGGCTTCGCGTCATTTCTTGTTCAGCCACATCACACCTCCTCACCTGCGGATGCAGGGGCAGACTGGCGTTTCGCGTTTTCCCTTCTCCTCTGCCTCTTTGGTCAAAGGGGAACGGGCGATCGGACTCGGAACTCCCTAAGCCAGTCACGAGTCCGTCAGCAGCACAAACAAAAGCGAAGTGACTTGAAGATCGCAGGTACGATCCCGCGCGAGGCGGTGGCTTGACTACACGCACAAGTTGACCGCTGCAAAGTCATTCATTCCAACAACGAATTGGTCCAGCCAGCCCACGCAGCATTCTCATGTCGCTCCCAAGCCACACTTTGCCTCTATTCTGCTCCTGGCAGGTGTGAATGCGTACAAGGCACATAATTGTGCAAACCCTGCGTTCGTGAAGGGAAATACTTGACAGGATCAAATCAATGCTCCCCGCAGCGCCCTGCGCGCAAACCTTCACTCCGCTACTACTGTAGTGCAGTAGCAGTGGTACCTTTGCAACCAACTCGATACACGCACGACTCGGGCTCATTCCTGCCAAGCGCGGTCCTCTCGCCCCTTCGGACCTGCCTGCCACATCTCATCTTTTCTCAAAGCCAATCAAACTCCTGCTGTCTCTCTTCTGCTGTCTCTGCCTAGCGCCGGTCTTCGCTTCGCGACACTCGAGGTCAAGGCTTCTCTCTTGGTGCTTTTTCACGGCTGCTCAGATCAAGCGCTGCAAACCGTGCCTCATTTTCGCACCCTTCGCATCAGCGCATGACGGCACCGTAAGCCGGCCAAACTCCGACTTCATTCGCGATCCAGGCGCTTCAGCCCGTCTTGCGGTGCAACTCGTCGAAAAGCAGCATCTCGAGGTCCTTGTCGAGTACGCTCCAAAGCGTCGGGACTTATCTTGACAGTCTTCACGCCGATTCATGGTCCGGCGCGCTCCTGTCTCGAGACACACGACCTCACTACGAACGCGCTCGTGATCAGAGAACACCCAGCCCGACTGCGCTTCCATCTCGCCACTTCGTTGCGCGACAAACCGCCAATTACTCCGCCATCAGCTCAGAGCTCCGACAGCACGCGCAGGACTAGGATCGAACGACTTGATCATCTTGAAATGAATTCTCGACGGCATATCTAGTCCTCACAATCACCACAAGCTCCCATCACCTACGCAACAGAAGGTGCCCCCTTCACGACATCCAGCACCACAATGGACACTTTTTCGGCAGGCCCATCGCAGCTGCGTCGACCAGCCTGCTCTCCTCACTCAACACCAAAGATGGTCACCGCGTCGTCCCTGCCAGCTGACGACGGTCGCGACGCAGATGCTTCGAGGTCTAAAGAGCCATCAGTGTCCACCTCACACAATGGCACACCCGCACCGTGGGTGTTCGATCAGCAGCCAGCGTCATCGGAGAGGGGCTGCACGTTTTCACCACAGGGCGAGCTATTGATAGGTGGCTTGGGCATTGACGGCCGGAACACGAGAACAGGAGAATCTGGCTGGGCATCACTAGCGCACACGCCTCGCCATGCGCTCGGTGTGTGGGCCAAAGGAGACTGTAGACGAGGAGCGGACGGCGCCTCTGTGCCGTGCAATGGCTCCAGCGCAGGCTTCACCACGTGTTCACCACGTCCTTCGTGTGTAGCTTCTAGCATGGACCGCGCTGGGCCATGCGGGTCGACTTCCTTGCTACCAGGTCGACCGTTCAGAGGTGCATGGAAGCGCATGCAGTCTGCTGCTCACCTGGGCAAGCATCCGCCTGTGGACGAAGAGAGCCCCAGCGTCAGCGGCGAAGCATCATTCTCACCTTCGAAGCATGCTTCAAGGCCATCCGTCTTGGTGGAGGATATCGTAGAAGGCCGCACGTGTCAACCGATTTCGCTGTGTAAGTTACTCATATTACGCATTGCAGCTGCGACTGGTGAACCTCATCGACTCACCCCTCGTCGCGCTCCTGCCGTCCAGCCGACTTTCGCAAGTTCTTGGTCCGTCGCCGCAGAGAGGAGGCGCAGTCGTCCGCTCCGCTCAGCTATGAAGCGGATTTCTCCATGCTTGGTGGCGGGCTTGCGGAGGAGAAGAAGCACTCGACTTCCTCCGCGATAGTGAGCCCTGACACGACCTTTGTCTTCGACGACTCCATAGCAGGCAAATCAAATTCGACGCGGCGCACAACGCTTCCACCCTCATCTTCGCATGGCACGGATGCCTCCTTCAGCAGTGCGAAAGAACCAGAGATGACGAGCTACGAGAGACACTCTCTGGCCGGTCGGCACGTACACAGCAAGTCCACTGGTGACGCTCTCGACGCTCTGGACTTTGTTGTTGCCGTCGACCGCTACGCGACTACCTTTGCTAGGTTGAGCTCTAGTCAGCGTGAGCTCGCTCCAGCCTGTGAAGCAAGAACATATCCACCTTGTGGCAATGCAGCGAGCGAGAATGCGGAGGAGGCCCAGCGAAGGGCATGTGCTCCAGAGGATCAACCCCTTCGGAAGCGCTTGAATCTCATCACCTCCACGTACATCGGGGGCAAACACAGCTCCACCTATGATGCCGCGCCCAAGCTGGCATGGATGCGCGACACGGGTTTGTTGTCCGAAGCGGCTCTTGCACAGGCGATCGACTGCGCTTCACGCACAACTCATCCCGATGCCATTCTACCTCTGGCTCGCGCAGTCCAGGCGCACTTGGATTCGCACGTTCTTCCGGGCTTCCTGGACTCAGCTTCTCACAACCTTTCTCGCAACACCAAGTGGGGTCGGCTGGTCACTGGAATTGCCTGCACCATCGTCGCTTTGCTGCTGTCCATCCTGCTGATCATCGAGCCCAGTCCTCTGTCGCCTCATTACGCCACGGACAGGGAGAGAGCGCATCTTTCGAGATGGTGGCGCTTTCTTACGCTGCCGCTGTGGGCTGCAGGCATCGGCTCCACCCTGGCAGCATACACCGGTGTCTGCGTCTGGCTGAGCCTCCGAGGCAACCATGAACCCGAGAAGGTCCTGACGGAGGAGGCCAAAGCGGATCGACCAGCTCACATCATCGCTGCTAGCATCAATGGCGATCACGAGAAGAGTCGTCATGAGGAGGCGCCGGCGCAGGAGTGGGAGGAAGCAGAAGAGCACACCGCGACTCCGCAAGGTTGGCTTATGGCACCCGAGCTCAAGGCGCTTCTTCTGCGGTGTGTCGGCCGCCATCCTTCAAAAGCGTCAACCGACGCCGACAAGGTCAAGGCGAGGGCTTTGCTCCCTCGCGTATCTTCCGACCTCGCCTCGTCAGGGCTGCCCACTGAGCCTTCCCCTATCTATCTGCCAGGCTCGCCCGAAGGTCCCACAGCCCCCCTGGCCGAGCCGCGTAGTCTTTCGATGATGGCGCGCTCCCCTTCCACGGAGCTTGGTTCGTCGCCAATGGCACTTTCTCGGTCGTTCCGATTACCCGGCACGCAAGTGTCTGTCGGATTCCAAAATGCGCGCACGGCTCTTGCAGCTCCTTCCTCTTTGCCTCCCACATCCTCCAACAATCGCATCTCGACCTCGACTATGGTGCAGATGCCAGAGGACAAGCACCCTTCCACTGTGCCCGCCTTGCGATCGTCGCCTAGCAACCCGATGCAGAAGGCCGTCGCGGCGCTTCAACAGTGGACAGGTTTTGCGATCAACACCAAACCGGTGCTTGACGAGAGGGTTAGAAAGATTCATCAGAGAGCCGCGATCAATGCGCTTGCGCTATGCACCGCTTTGACGCTAGTCGCCATCGTCATCGTTCTCGCCCTTCCTTGATTTGTCCTTCTACATTCCCGATTTGGCTTGTATGCGAGTCCATTGTGGATTGCGAGATCCTTTTCCACAGCCTCCACTGCTGCCTTCTTCCTCTTTGGCTCTTGGTCCCGTCCTTCATCTACATCGTCACGCACCACGGATCCTCAACTGCTCGAGAGAGATTTCGCATCACTGCACTTACGTGTTCTGTATTTTCACCCACCCGTCACGCATCGGCGAATCAATCACAGATGGTCATCGCTTTCTCAATCCGTCTGGTCCGAGAATCGTTCGTCCGCTCAAGCACCTCTCGGCGTGCTTCACTTGCCTGAGCGGCTTTTGCGAGATCTCGACTGCATACAATTATAAGTACGTGGGTCGTCGGGAAAACGTACAAAAGTGAAAGCGGCTGGCGGTCTGAAGGCCGTAAAGCGGCGAGCGCGCCCAGAAGCGCGACTACAAGGAAAGACACAAAGACGTGCTTTTCCGGGAGCGGAAGGACTTGGACAGACGAAGATGAGAACGACCTGTTTAGTAGTTGCGAGGACGCTTGACCAACCGGGCATCTTCATAAGGGGGCCTTGGCGAGGGATCGAGATAAGGTCGATAGGGCGGTTGCTCTGTGGTCAAAGTCGAGCGCGGTTCGTTGGCCGGAGGATCGAGCGATTGAGAGTGCTGAGGCTGGGACAGGCTCTGAGGTCTCGTTGAGGCACTCGAGTGCGATGTAGACAATCCTGCGTCCCCGTAAGACGCCCCCTGGCTCCTGGACAAGCCCTGTCCTGCCGAAGATCGACCCGCCAGTGGCGTACCGTTTGTCTCGCCCATCGCCTCGGTCTCGTACGCGCGGCGCTGGTATTCTCGCGGCGGCATCGAGGCGGGAGGAGCCGCATTGAGAGCACGGTCTCGCCGCGCGTTCTCTTCGTGGTGGCGACCACGATCGCCGTTGTGGGCCCTGTATGATTCTCCGCTGACGTCTTTGTAGATCGGCTCGGCCTGACGAGTGCGAGCGCGAGGCGATTCCGTTATGTATCCGCCGCTGGTTCTCGGCGGTCGCGCCTCGCTGCCGGGGTGATGGGAGCCGGAGAGATGAGGCGAAGGATGCACGTCGCGAGGAACGACCCGTGCCTGGGCTGTGGCCGATGCAGAAAGAGCGTCCAACCTGGCAGTGGAGTCGTCGTGCGACTGGGCGAGGTATGTGATCCACTTGGCAGCGTTATCTGACTGAATCTCCAATTGCTCCACTCTGGCTTTCAGAGCCTCATTGTGCGCTACTAGATCCTTGTTGAGGTTCGACAGGCGCATGACTTCAAATGATGGCGCATGTCAGACGAGTGCTGGCAGCATGTGGCCCATCGAATACCTTCACACTTACCGTGGTGATCCACGTTTCTCCTTGCTTCACCCAGGATCTCGTCGCGGAGCGCTGCTCGCATCTGATCGAAAAGACCTGGAGGAAGTTGCTTAATGGGTGGCCCTGCTGTTGCATCTGTCGTAGGCGCTCTTGACGAGCTAGGAGCAGCCTGATAGCCGCCAATAGCCGAGGCACGGGAGTGATCATGAACCGTCGACAGCGGTACGCTGGGACGCGTGAAGTTTTGGCTGGGCTGCAACATTGTAGGACAAAGACGTGCAGGGACATGTCAGCTTGTATCTTGCACAATGTGTGATAGAAGTACTCACATCCGAGACATGCTTGTAGGGCTTAATGTCGCCCCGTACAGCACTGCTCTCGGCATGGGCATGGCCGTGCGGTCGTGCCGGACGACTCAAACCCTCTGGAGGCGGCCCGTAAAACGATCTTGCACGCGGGTCGATGTCGGGAGGTACATGGCGCTCCGCGGCAACGTCTGGGTCTCGACGACCTGGTGTATAATCTCGCACTGAGCTAGACCTCGACGGTTGAGTGGCGAGGGAGCGTTCTGCTCCGACAGGCTGCTGAGCACTTCCCTCGTACCCCCTGCCAGGCGGGGGAACATTCCAAGTAGAGGCGTACCTAGGAGCATGTCGCTCGCCGCTCGGCGTAGCGCTCGGGACATTTCCATTTCCGGGTCCACGCCGAGCATCAACAAATCGTGGGCTCGAGCTGTCGGGTACATGTTGTTCCTCACGGGCAAAGGTGGTCGACATGAGGGCTGGCGATTGCACTGCAGATGCAAAGACCTGCCGCGGCCCCTGCCCATCACCTCTATCCTCCACCGGCCCTTGATGTCCCTTAGAAGCAGACGGCTGCGCACGACTGCCTTGCACGATTCCCATAGCCCGCCTTTGACGCTCTACGCCGTAGACTCCTTGGTGCACCTGGTGAAAAGCTCATCATATGTTCAACATGGGCAGGGTGCAAAACAACCTTGAGTCCATGCAGCAACGCACCTTGACAAATTCGCTGACGAGAGCTGGCTTGCTCTTTGTCGATGTAATCCTATAGTGGATGCACCAGTCTATCCACTCGGAATACAGCTCGGTAACACTACGGGCCATGTCTTCCTCGTCACTCGCATCCAGATTGTGTTTCTCGATTAGACTCAAGAACTTATCAACTGCAAGATCAGCAAGAGGAGCTGAGTATTCTTGCGCCTGGTGGATTAATGGAGTACTTGCCACTTACCTTCGGCTGGCTCAAGGTCCCGCGCATCATCTACGTAAGGATACGACTGGCCAGGTACGGCCTGAATGTTGAGCGGAGTCTGTTCCCTAGATCCAGGGGTGCGCGGGCGGTAGTGCCTCGGCGGAGAAAGCGCTCTGGTAAGCCGCGGCTGACCCCCGTCTGCTGGCTTGCCATACTTGGTGGGCACTTCGCTCGTCCATTCTCCCTCGGGTGCCTCGCGTCGGTCATTGTGCAATGCACTTCCACGGAGCTCGGCACTCTCCATCCGGAGGAATTCTGGATCCCTCTGGTCTCGCTCTCGCTCTCGCGAATCTCGTCCCTCTGCCGCGCTCCGAGAATGGCCACCGTGCTTTGTCTGATAAGTCTCTGGCGAGGTCTCACCGCCCGGCGGCCGTTCCCATGAGCGCTGCCGGGGACTAGAATGCGAGCCCTCTTGCTTGTTTTCGTCGAGCTGACGATCGGCAAGCCCATCTCGCTGTGACTCGTACGCAGGGGTCCCACTGTGGGCGTTCGAGTGACTCTGAGGCAGACCCTGTGCCAAGGGAGCCTCGACCGAGCTAGCGGAAGCGTCAGATGCGGCTTGAGAGCGATGCGAGGGAGACTGAGCGTCGCTATCACGTCGATGATCGTCTTCTGGGGTGTGCGCATTCAGTCTGCCATGACGCTGCGAGTCCAAACTTTGGTGTTCCTGCTCTCGCGCAGAGCTAGGTGTGTCTCGTGCCGTTCGACGTCGTACTTCGTCAGAAGATTGCTCGGCTCTTCTTTGTCCAGCCTGTCGTCTGACAACGGCTTCGGAGCGATCGAAATCGGAAGCCTCGGTGCTGACGGTGGATTCGCCTTTAGCTTTAGCGGAAGGCCTTGGGCGAGCTCGCGCATCTGACCTGGATACACCTGGAGAGGCGTGCTCCGCACCGTCACCTTCGCGCACGGAGGAAGCCGATGCGGCACGACCGCCTGCCAATTCCCCTGCAGTATCGGTGTCGTGGGCCTTGTCCGGTGATTGACCTGGTAGCGTGAAGCGATGTGAAAATTTCAGCAGTCCATCCTAGATCGGGACACCCTAATTGTCTGATTGGAGGCTCACCTTGCCGATTATCCGAGCGCTCTATCGCCCTGTAAGCGAGCTCTGCTGAATCTTCGACTTGCCATGAGGCAGTTGATGGAGTCGCTGCTCGTGAGCCGAGCTGCGAGTCTCGGTCACCGGCGCTGCCTCGAGGTGTCCCCATCTTTTTCAGCTCCGGCACGCAGATGAGGTCGTGTTGCCGTCGGACAGCCTACCTGAGACTCCCTTGTGGCTCAGGTCGCAAGGCTCGCTAGGTGCTTGACAGTTGGAGAGCGTCTCTTTCAAGAACGTCGCGTTGAATCGCGAACGGCGGTCAAGATGATGCGATGGCCGGGTATAAGCACGTACGCTCATCTCTGAGAGAACAGCGAAGTCGATGGAGGAGCGTCACAGCAGCAAGGTCGCGTTTGGTGTGTTTTGATGAGACGTGAGGGGTGGGTTTGCCCAGAGCGCCGCAGTGCCTCTTGCTTCCATGTACCGTGCACACCTGTTTCCTGCTTTGGAGGTCAGTCGCAGCTGCGTGACGAAGAACGTACAGCACACTGAGACTCGTGTTTGACTGTCACTGCGCAGTGCATGGAAGGAGAAACTCGCTCGCACGACCGCGTGGAGGCTTGCCATCCCGCCCGCCGTACATACTGTATGGCAAGCAGCGGGAAGGCGGGAGCAGCGGCAATGTGCTCCCGCATCAATCACGAATCACCTGCTGGCTTTTAGACTTGTGCCGCGTGTGCGAGTAGACTACTGCTGCATGCTCCCCTTTAGCCTGCTGTGTGATTCCGAAACCTAGGTGCGGGCATCATCAAGACTCGCGGCGTGCATCTGCAGCTGCATCGGGGCAATCTGTGATGCCGGGACCATGGGGTTGGCCCTGCATCCGTGCATGCCTTGCTGCCGCCTTCGCTTTCGCTCTCGCTTTCAGCGACAACGACGGTCGAATAGAGATGCCGCGATTGACGATGACTTCGTGAAGTGGTTGGTCTTCTTGATTTTTCGTGGCGGAAGTGGTACCAGTCAAGTCCAACCAAGCGGGAAGGCCATGCATAGGCGGGTCGCCTTGGAGACGAACGACTTACTCTTTGACTCTCTTTCGCACCCGACCCCCCTCCTCACCCACACCTGATTTGGCGCGGTAGGTATGCCCCGTCGCAGACTGCCTGCTGCCGCCTTATCTATATAATTTGTCCTCGAATCGCGGTGAAATCACGTCGCGCGATGCATGAGCAGACTGGCCTGTTCGTGCCTCAGCCTATATAGCTATAGCTCTTCATCCACATTCTCGTTCCTCTTTGCCTCACAGGCTGTGACATCTCCATGTTGCGTCTGCCAACAAATCCATTGTCTCGAGTCGAGGAATGGTGACGAGGCACTTGAGTTATGACCGCATTATCTGCTGACCTGTATATGTACTACTCTTGACTGCACGCACACGCTGTATCGAGCGGTATGCACCAAGGTGCAGAGAAAAATTGACCGCAAGATTCTGTGGTTGTTAGCGCAGGCTGCACAGGGCGCGCTAGTCCGCTTGGATGCTTATTGATGGTCCCTTCGTCTCGCCTATGTCTGCGCAACTTTTGACTTGATCGAGGTTTCCAGGCTAGCGTTACGAGCTAACGATGGCGTCACATCAGCAGCAGCAGCAGCAGCAGCAACGCCAAGGGGCTCGCGCCTCGCGATGAGACTTTGGCGCATGTCGCCCACGCCGCGATCGAGACGCCGTAAGCAAATCGAACCGTGGATAATCGCTTGAATCACATGAGCGCTGGTTTCACACGGCGGCGTATCGGCGCGTGGCTTCGGATGAGACTTCTGATACGGCCAACGTACAATTTGAGTCTGGCAACGATGAGCGATCCTGATTGGGAGATAGGTCTCGATCACCTTTGTAGCTGAACGTTTCAATTTGTCCAGGTGTCCTCATTCATGATTGGACAATGAGCCATGAGAAGGCCCTCCTTTTCGCGGATTTATCGGCTCGTGAGGCCAGGTAGCTCGTTCAGCACGACCATGTGGTTCACGCATCGATTCAATGTTTAGTTGCCGTGCCTGCATGCTGACGCGTCATCCCGATCGATCCAGGTGTATCACTCGCCGCTCCTCTTCACCAGACGGGCCATCATGGCTTCACGGCATGGAGCCAAGCAATCCTGGACCTCCGACGACTAGCAAGCTAAGAGTCGCACTCCGCGACCTCTCCTTTTTAAGTTCTGAATGCATAAATTTACAAGCCGATTTCGCGCCGGGAGGGCACACCTTGAAATGGGAGTCAAAAGGCCGTTAAACCTGCGCGGGGGGTGACAGCGTCTACTCGTGGTGGAAAGGCACGTGGTGAAGGGTCCGGTAACACCGCTGAAGCCTGAAGCGCGCCCGTCGTGATTCGGGGGTGCCAGAAATAAGGGTCATAAGTCTGACTTGAGGACAATTCGCAATTGAAATGTGTCTTGCTGCCACTTCTTGACAGTCATCTTCATTTCGCATTCGTTTGATTTGACAATAGTGAATGTCGAAACGTACCAATCATGATTTGCTTGGACTTTATGTGTGCCGTTGTGAAGCTCCAGGGAAAATCACGAATGATGAACGCCACTCGCAAAAGCCGGTCGCACCAATCACCACCTTCATCGGTAAAGGCTGCACTAAGCGTCACCAGACTTACTTCCATCTTTGGCTCCAGCCCTTTGCCTGATCTTGATTATGAAAGCATGTGCTGAGCATGTGCTCACCCCAGCATCACGGCTGCTGAGCGTTGCGAGCATCGTCCCTCTCACGAAATGCCCTGCGCGTTATGATGATCCACGATTTGACGTGAAGCTAGAGACGCGCACGGTGCAGCTTCACGTGGAGATGGCAGAATCGCGAGGCAGAAAGTAGAAAGTCGGCTGACTTTTTTGAGGTCTTGACAAAGTTTGCTGCCAGGACAAATGCTGAAGCGTGGGAAAATGGCAGTTGGCGGAAAGTGCGCTTGTATGCCAACGCTCTCAAGCTTGCGCTCGAATGTCAAAAGTCCGCAGCCGCGCCATTTGACCCACCACCAGTCGAAGTTCCCGCTCTTTTCTGGAGAAGAATCAGAATTCAAAAGTTGTTTTGGTGCCCTCTGGATGCCTCGAGACCACGGATGTTTCACGGCTATGAGGCTCTTGATCACAGAACTAATTGACATGCACATTGGTTTCAAGATTCACGCTTGTGCGCCGAGCATCGTTCTTTGACCTTCAATCATGAGTCACGGTTGAGTGTAAAGAGTACTGTGACCCCTCGCTGTGTCGATGCACGACGAGAGTCTGTTGAACACAGCTTTGACCCGTGAGTACTTACACTATTCGTGATTACTATATACGTTGTTGTACTCTGCAGGTGGGCCCTCCAGCTGCAGTCTAGCGCCCTGCAGCGCCGCTAGCGCAGGTTTCACAAGCACTCCAGGCTGCATGCCGGCCTACCTGGTGCACTCAGACTGCGATGGCCTTCACCGCGGAGGGGCACAGCAGCAGCAAATTGGGAGCAGCAGACGGATGCAGCGCACGTCCGCTCTGCTCTCCATGGGGCGTGCAGCTCTTTTGAAATCTGACCCCGAATACGTTGTCAGACCAGCGAGTGCATCCCATGGTGAGTGCGGGGAAGTCGCAGCGCGGGCTTAGGCGTGGTCATCAAAAAGTCCTCGAAAGTGGAAAGCATAAATGGTGCGCTGCACTTTGCGGCTTCCTCGCCTCGCCTCTCGAGCAACTCGGTCAGCAAGTTGGGACCAGCAGTGTGTATTCATGAGTGCATGTCAGGCAGTCAGTGGCGCAGCGGGACGGGAGAGTCGCAAGCGGCAAGGCCTACTCCGCAGCGCTCGCTAAGAAGACACACTACTACATACAATTTGCACCTGACCAAAATTCGCGGGTCGTGACATGCACCCGCGTTCAGAGCAAAGCACCAGCCCGATAGCATTCATGGAGATATACACCTCATCATTCGAAACCTAGTCAGCTGCTGTACTTTTCTTCTCGTTGACCGCGAGCCTTCCTTCACGGTAGGGAGCGGAAGCAAGTTCCGTCGAATAAATGCGTGACAAAACCCGTGATGGCGTTTGAGGCGGCGAGTCGGGGCAGTCATGCAGCTGCATCAGCTGTGTTATGATTCCTTCTCCGCACGTCCACAGCCAGTAGGCAAGTCTCTTGCCGCTGCACGCCCTCTGCAACTGCAGTTTTGATTTCCAATTTAAGCGCTTAGCCACACTTGTCTCCGCAAGTGCTCGACGTGATAGTCAAGAGTGAGGAAGCTTTTGACAGCTGTCAAGGTGTAAGAGACACTTTGTGAGCCAAGACATGTGGGGCAGCAGAGGATGGCATGATTGGTCTTTTACCATTCGTGATGTTGATCCACACTTCACACCGTCTCGACAGCATTCAGAATCTTCCTTCTCATACACTTTTCATCAACATCCTCGAGGCTCTCGCGCTCGTGTCCGATCTTGGCAGTTGCTCAACCGGCCGCTTCGCTAAGTTAGCATGAGTTGGTAAGGCCGAGAGACACATCTCACCGACGACGAGCATTCGCGCGAGGCGCCAAGCCATAGAGCGACACATCTACGCTGGCACCTTGAAGCGGGCACTATGACCTCTTTCATCAACGACGACACCCCTACTGCCCCTTCCCAACCAAGGTTCAAAGCCGCACGCAGCCAAGCGGGCCCTTCAGATGCTGACACTCGACAGCCACAAGCAAGGGAGACGGATCAATTCGCGTTAAGCCCATCTCAGGCTGCGAAGGGCTTGGGGCTCAGCTTTGGTTTGCCGATCTCCTCTGCAAGCGCCATGAGCCACTCACCGTCCAGCCGAGATGATGAAGACCATTCTGGACCAACGGCCTTGAGGAGCTCTGTAGATCAGCGATCCGATTCGGGTGGCAGCGCCGCGCAGATCTATCCGGCTCTTAGGGAAGGGGCCAGATCTCCAACATCATTTCCCTACTACGACGCAAAGCGTCGACCGACCCTCTCGCACAGCAGTAGTAGATCTGGGCAGGGAAAAACACGGAGCAACTCTAGGCCATCCATCTCAAGCCGGCGTGGCGCCAGATCGCCCGGCTGGGAGTCTGACATTGGCCCGCAGCTCGACTTGGCTTTGAGCTTCGTGAACGGGGGACCACGAACGAACGGCACGAACGCATCCATCACGTCTCCATCCAGTCAGAAGTTCGCCATGTCACCTCTGGCTCGAAGCGAAGGTGATCTGAGCCGCGGTAATTCGTCACTCAAAGTCAGGGCTGCAGACGCCATCGAAGCTGCTGAAATAGAGGTCATCGATGCACTGGCAGCCATGGGGCGTGTAATTCCCTCGTCCTCTAGAGGCGATAGGAGAAGCAGCGACCGTGATGGGCCGCCTTCCGCCAACGCGGACCCTGAGATGGTGATGAGCTCGCTGCGTTCGCTCGCTGGTCTGACCCTCGGACAAGGTTCCAGGTCCAAAAGTTCGAACAGCGTTGCAAGCATGGAAAGTTCTGGGAGTGGAGGCAGTGCTGGAAGCGCCAGCATCATCACCTGGGGAGACGCCCTACAGCACTCACAGTCAAGTCGAGCAATCGTGCGGAAGAGGAGCTTTGCAGAAGAGTTGGTTAGCTCTGACGCGCAGCACATGGCACACTATCGAACATCCGAAGCAGCTCGAGCACAAGCCTCCACCCCTTCGACAGGTAGACGCTCTGCGACTCCTGCGAGTGGTCTTCTGACCAGCGCGAGCACCCCAGAAGGCGCTCTGGGCCGCATCTCGTTGCCTGATGTGGGTCCAAGCGCAGCCATAGACACCACAGATGAATTTGTCGGATCCCATTCGGAGCTCGCAGCGCACTCAGCAGCCCTAGACGTGCGCCGAGACAGCGCGAAAAGCGAGGAGGAGCAGGAAATCTTGCTGTCGCAAATAGGTCACGATCCTCCAGGGCACTCTACTCGCTGTTCCGGGGAGATTGATAGGACTGCGCACGAACTTCCAAGCCTGGAACGAGCGCGTCAGCGGCGCGAGATGGATGCTACAGAAAGAGTGAAGCAGCAGGCAGCTGTGCGCCAAAATGAAGCCCAAATGGCCGCCTTGAAAGCTGGGCTGCGCTACCTGATTGAAGTACAGGACGACTCTGTAAGTCAATTTGTCTCGCGCTCGAGTCACGCGCCATCCTCACTTGGGTCGTTCTAACAAGGCTCTGGCTACTTCCACTCCTTTCAGCATCGACGGAGAATCGCTGCGGAGGATGCATTGGCGAGCGTGATCGCGAAAGCCGCCTCTTCTCCGCCCGTAGAGGAGACCCGGCTTCCGAGTGGTTCCGGACCCTCTCTGAGCAAATCTACAGACACTCTGCCTTGGCTGACTTCCACGGTCTCGGTGGCGAGCAGAGCATCTGACAGCGCTGCGACCCAACCGCAAGGCCGCTCAAGAAGTCGGTCTATTCTGAAGACAATTGCATCAAAAATGCCGCTCAGTCTGCAGGGAGGCTCCAGTGCGCAAGCTTACGTGGCAGATGAGAGCTCTGCACAGCTCGCATCCGGTCTCTGCGGCCCTTCGAACAGGCTCAGCGTCCTTCCTGGCGGCACATTTTCCCTACAAGCGAATAAACATCAAGGTCAGGCAGAAATAGCCGCTGCGCTCAGTCGCTACACCGATTCTCAGGGATCTCACTCGCGAAAAGGAGCCAAAAGCTCTGCGTCAACCAGCAGCCAGAAAGCAGAGTCTATCCGACCTCTATCCGTCTCACAGCCGTGGACTGCAGGCTGGGACGTCATGAGCTACGACTCGGGCAAGACTGCAGGATCGATTGATCTCTCCGCACGCACGGCCATCTATCCGGATTCGCATGCTTCGGCCCGCGGATCTGGCCAAGTGCTTCCTTCGATAGCTGGCAACGAAGACGTGACATCTTTGCGTGTTGCGCTATCGCAATCACGCCTGGCCTTGGCGAATTTGGAGCAAGAGAAACGCAGACAGGACGAAGAAACAGAGGAGCTAACTAATCGGGTATTTATTGAAGCTCAAGATATGGTTAGGACAGAGCGTGTACGCGCGAACGCTCTCCAGCGCGAGGTTGACAGTTTGCGGGCTCAGCTCACAAAGAAGACACTCAAGGGAGCAGGGGGCGCAGCGATCGAGGCTGGTGCGTCGGATGACAGTGAAGCTGACATGATGGCGGCAGTCAAGGAAGCAGCTTTGGCATGTGCCGAAGCTGAGCAGGACGCGGCGACCCTTCGGGATGAGATGGAAGCAATGAGCTCCAGATGTCAAGTCCTCGAAGAAGCGTTGTACCATGCCGTAGCTGCGGTAGCTCAGACTCGTCTGCAAGAAGCGGATGGTGCTCTCAAAGATGACTTTGACACTGTGGCTGCACAGCTCTGGGCCGCTGCGGAGCAGTCGTCCAGTGCAGATACAGCGATGGCAACTCTTCCCACTGTCGCGATCGGCAGCCCCGCTTCTCAGGATGGTCATAATCGCGTCGATCTCATTGCGCAGCAGCCGAGCATGGCTTCTTTGGGGCAATCTGCTTCCATTTCTGGTGCCGATGCTCGTCAACCTGAAGCGCTTTCAGATTCAGGCCCTGACATGCCGGGCTCTCTGCTTGGCGCACAACACTCCGAGATACGCTCGCCCGACGGCTTACGAGATTCAACTGCACCATACCACCGTAAGAGCAGCCTCGACGTTCCTGGTCGGCATTCTACGGAGAGCGTGTCTTCTTTCTACAGCGCAGTAGCTGGCAAAACCCCTGCACCGGGCAGTGCAGCCAGTGATGACGAAGATGATGGTGAAGTCGTAGAGACATTGGACCAAAGCGACGTGCCTGCCTTGACCCGCCATCCTCTGCGTGGAGCTGCGCCCTATTTGGACTCACCCGTCTCGCCGCCATCCGCTGGCGAGCCCTTGAGTTCTCCGACAAGCTGTGGAAACACGAATGCGGCAGCGAATCAGCTGCTGTGCACATCAGCGCCGCAGGCGGCTGAGGCCCATGAGAAAAGCTCTGTGAAGGAGCCAGCCTTTGCGAGGCCGCGAGCCACCCCTTTGAAGTCTTTGGTGCTTGAGCGCCCAGCATCCTTGGGCATCGAGATTGGTCGCAGACTCGAGCGCAATGCTTCTCTCACATCTCCAGGATTGGATCGCTTGCCGCGCTCATCGCTAGCTTCGCCGTTGATTGGACCTGGCTCCCCACGAGGTCTGCCACCTCGCCCGCCAGAACCAAGCTCCCCCCTCCCAGCACCGCCTCAAGATCAGCCAGCACCTCCCAGAGGAGGCGCTCCCTCTGACTTTGCAACACCGTTGCGACAAGCTTCGAACTCTGAGAGCGGACAGCTGTGGCGTTTCTCTGACTTATCGCTGCTCCATGCTGCCTCAGAAGACAGCCAATCACTTCGGGAGCCTCCGCCAAGTTTCACCACTAGGTCAAGCACTGCTGCGTCGAAACTACCCACGCCCGAACTGCAGCGAACTGAGAATTCTCGCGTGGCAACAAGGACCGCCGTTTTACGAGGCAATCAGGCTCAAGATATCAGCGCTGACGAGCCTAGTCAGGATCCCGGGACGCGAGCTGGCGCTGCCCCAATCTCCATAGCTTCACCAGCTTCGTCGGCACTGAGCAGGGAAGATCTGTCTAGCCCACACCTTGACCCTCTTCACCGTCTCCCAACACGTTCGAGCACAGAGGATGAATACAACTCTGCCTTTGACGATACTCAGATAAAGGTCATATCGGAGTCCACCACTTCGTCTTCGGCCCGCGGTCAACCACGTGCACACGCGTTTCCCCGCGTGGAGTCGATCGAAACTTCTTCGCCTCCAGAAGACTTCGGTGCAGCAGAGCGAGCCTCGCCGGAACGCCTCAAGAAATCTGCTGGACCGTCGCCAGTGCCGCAGCTCGCCTCTGTTTCTGCACCTTCCACACGAAATACCAAGAGTCCCACGCTGACAAGCAAGAGCAGTGTACGAAGCCTAGCGTCTACTGACACTAGCGCAGCTCAGGGTGGGAGGAAGCATGCCGTGAGAGGGTCTGCAAATCTGTTGCATAGCGCAAGAGGACGCCGACCCAGGTACAACAGCCGCGGGAGCTCGTCAGCAAGCTTGAGTAGGAATCGAGGCACCTCGATCAGCTCGTCAAACGTGGCCTACCACAGCGATATCAAGCCAGCGCGTCCTTCAGGCCTCATGGAATCCTCATCTGCGAGCTCCATCTTGAATTCGGCTGCGCGCTGGACTGCAGACGCTGCAAAGACCTTGCCACCAACAAGAGGGGTCGCAGGCAGCTCCCTCTACTCGGTGAGCTCCTCGGGCTCCCGTCAAAGTTCTGTCTTGCCTTCCATCAGTGCAGCCTCCAACACGTCGCACGGCACTTCGCAAGACCCAGATACCAATTCGATCTCGTCCGGAAGCGCGGGACATCAACGTTCTGAGGGCCAGCAGCACAACACCAAGGATCTTCCTGCAGGCTTCAGTCGGCGCCGCAACTACGGCGCGCAAGTCAAGGACAGTGCTGTCCAAAGTGACTTCAAGTTTCAGCTGCCACGCATCCGCTGATCGAGCATAGCGCATCTCATTCTCAACCCTCACGCTCGCTATGGCAGCCGCCAAGCGCTCTGAATGGGGACGTTTGTGAAAGGACAAGCCCCGCATACCGCGCCCCCCCCCCCCCCCCCCCCCC